GGGACAGTCGACTTCGCTGCGACGGGAGTAATCAAAGCGAAGCTGTAGGCCCAGACAGCGTTGCCTGAATTGCCAAAGCACATTCAAAGTAACCGGAGACAAGTTGGTCGTGATGAGGTACTCGATGTTAGGGACGTCTTCGAAAGGCCCGAATGGCAAAGCTTGCCAGCTTGCCACCGAGGGCTGCATGCGGCAATCAGGATAAAGCATCTCGTCCCTCCGTCAGCTTGGGCAATGGAAGTCAAGACGCCTCGAAAGGAGCAGGAAAAAGCAAATATGAAGAAAGGTGGAAGCGGCCGTACAAGGTTGTCGCGACTGTGCTTGACAAGAGATCGGAACAGTCAAGCATGAACGACTCGTTGACTGCGGTACGTTTGTCGATTCATTTTCTGCTGCCTTATGCTCCGCCAATAAGTTTAGCTGACATGCTGCTGCTGTGCTGGATCTTGCTAGTTATTGAATTCATACCCGACCGCCGCTGCGGCTTCATTTCGCTTTGTTCCGACGGACGTCATTGCTTATAAGACGCTTACGCTATGCGTTGATACGTGGCAGCCTGTACTGAGCGAATGGCGATGCGGCCAGGTGCAGTCGATGGATGTGCAAGGTACTGCAGTCGAAATGTCGACCTGGACTCTCGCCATCACTGACGGCTCTATAGTCTTCCATGAAGCTATACATTCTGAACAACAGAGCGTGCAAGCCAGCGAGATCAATGACTTGCGGTTTTTGAGTGGGCCCAGCTACTCCTCATTGCGGAATGCCGATGATGAACAAAATGCAAGCAAGACAACCGGTGGCACCGAGCAAGTCGTGCCTCAAAAATGATGTATCACGTCCAACATTGTGCCATGGATGGTGTATTGCTTCGCATCGGTATTGTAATGGCTCCAAGTCTACAAGTATACGCGTCCATCAGTTCACAAGCAGAGATGGCGTCACGTGCTACACGACGTTGTGAGTCGCAATTGCATTCTCTTTAGAAACAGAGAGCACTACTATTTCATGTGACAAAGCACGTTACGAATGACACTAATACGCACATTATGCTGCAACGCGCCAAGTCATACTGGAAAGTCGTTCATAAAGATGTTGCCCATTCTGACTATGCAGTATAAGCCGACAGAAAGCCAACCTGTCAAAGGGAACCATATGCTAAAACTATGCAACCTCCACGAGGCTCGGCTTACCTGTTTTCTGTACGCCTGACTAAACTTGATGAGCAATTCACGCAGGAAGAGCTATAAACGTACCATCTAGATGGATCCTTGAAACAAAGGAGACTGACGACCAGCTGACCGACCATCCGACCGACCATCCGACCAGTGCAACAGCCTATTCTGCCGCCACGACCTCCACGACCTCCACTTGTCCCGCATTTACCCACCAGCTCTCACACGCTCGGACCGTACACCGACAAGTCGTTTTCCGGCAGAATAAACTGCTCAAAGTTGTCCTGAAAAGCCTTGGCCAACGTAAGCGCCGTCTTGTCAAACGCCTTCTTGTCCATCCACGACTCTTTCGGGTTCAACATCTCGCACGGCACGCCCTCGACTCTTGTCGGGATCTCAAAACCAAAGAGCGCGTCCTTGACAAACGACGCGTCATTGATACTGCCATCCAGCACGGCATCGACGCACTTGCGTGTCAGCGGCAGCTTCATGCGCTTCCCCACGCCATACACGCCACCCGTCCAGCCAGTATTGATCAAATACACGGGCGTCTGATGCTGTTGCAGCTTCTCCTTCAACAGATCGGCGTACTTGGTCGGGTGCAGTGTCATGAACGCCGCGCCAAAGCACGTCGAAAACGTGGCCTGGGGCTCCGTGATCCCGCGCTCCGTGCCCGCCACCTTGGCCGTGTAGCCTGATAGAAAGTGATACTGGGCCTGGCCGGCCGACAACTTGGATACGGGCGGTAAAACGCCGTACGCGTCACACGTGAGGAAGATGACGGCGTTCGGGTGGTTGCCTCGAGAGTTGGGCTCGTGGTGTGGAATGTGGTAGATCGGGTACGACACGCGGCCGTTCTCCGTCTTGGTCGCGTTAAAGTAGTCGGGTTCATTCTTGTTCGCGTCAATCCAGACATTCTCCAGCATCGCGTTCGGTCGGATGGCATTAAAGATGTCCGGCTCGGTCTCCTGGCTCAGGTTGATCGTCTTGGCGTAACACCCGCCCTCAAAGTTGAACACGCCCTCGTCGTCCCAGCCGTGTTCGTCATCGCCAATCAGCTCGCGCTTCGGATCGGCCGACAGCGTCGTCTTGCCTGTGCCAGACAAGCCAAAGAAAAGGGTCGTGTCGCCTGCTTTGCCCATGTTTGCCGACGCATGCATGGCCATGACGCCGTTCAGTGGCAGGTAGTAGTTCATCATGCTAAAGATGCCCTTCTTCATCTCGCCGCCGTAGAAGGTGCCGCCGATAATGGCCATGTGCTTCTCAATGTTGAAGAGCACAAAGACCTCCGAGTTCAGCCCGTGCGCCTCCCAGTCCTCGTCCACAATGTTGCACGCGTTAATGACGGTAAAGTCGGCTGCAAAGCTATTCGCCACGCTCGCAACCTCGGGTCGGATGAACATGTTCGTCACAAAGTGGTGCTGCCACGCCAGCTCCGTCACGATGCGCACGTTAAGACGTGACTTCTCATTCACGCCGCAGTGGCCGTCAAACACGTACATGCGGTCCACCGAGCTGAAATGCTTGGCAGCTTTGTCGTAGAGCGTGTCAAACACGGCGGCCGTCGTCGGCTGGTTGATTGCGCCCCACCAGACCTTGTCCTGCGACGGCGCCTGCTTCACAATGAACTTGTCCTTGGGCGAGCGACCCGTGAACTTGCCCGTGTCCACTGCAAACGTGCCATTGGCGACGAACGAGCCCTCTCGGTAGCGCTTTTCGTGGTCCGCGAGCTGGCCGTACGAGAGATTGTGAAACACTGTGCAGTCGTTCTCAATGCCCAGCTGACCCAAGCCTAGAGCAGCAGTCGTGGTCTCGTGTGGTGCCATCGTTATCGGTTGGGAACAAGTGGCGGTAGCGTAGCTGTCAATGGATGCCAATTGGAAAGTGAACCAACTGCCTGCTGCTGACAATTGCTTGAGTGAATGAGCCATTGCGACTGACCGATGGCTGGTGTCACATGCATCAACGTGACGGGATTGCAGCGAAAAGCGCAAGTTGAAGTGATGACAGGTACGGACTCGTGACGCTGCCGCGTCAGCCCAGTGCGAGCGTGCAATCATTACTGGACATGAACGATTTGTATCTGATTACCGCATCGGCCCTTCAAGTGAGGGCTCTGTTTTGAGACTAAGGTCGGCTCGATCGGGTGATGAGTCAGCTTCGTTGACTTGTCTCAATTACCCTCAACTGATACAGTGGAAGTTCCTACAAGAACTCGGCCTACCTTCGGCCTGCTCTGTATAGTAGTGGCAGCAGTCCCGAACGAGGAAGATTGTTACCATGATAGAACACCGCGAGTTCCTATCGAGTTGTGAACCTGGTAAAGGGCTTAGGCTGTGATGCGGCAGCGTACACAGTGTAGAGCGTGCGCTTCTACCGTCGCCTCCAGTTGATCTCGGACGTGAGACAAGAGTTCATGCAGCTTTCAGACTAACTCGTAGGCGGCTATACCGAGCAGCTCTTCGTTGCGATAGTTGTTCCCAGGCAGCTGCAATCACTACTCGATGGATTGCCGATGTGCTGGCCCCTTGTGCATCCTTTAGAGCTGTTCATCTTGCAGCATCAAACTAAACCTTCAACAAATGAAGGCAGAAAGTAGACGTAAAGCGTGGACAGCACAAGTCTAAAACATTCAATGTATCACTGTACACAGTCCGTGCACCAAGGCGAACATTGCTCTGCAAGCGTCACGTAGTGACACAAAACCGTCACGCGGTCACGCTCCACGCGCAATCGATGACGCAGGCTCAGTCACGGGTAGAGATCAGCCCATCACCAGCTGTTCGGCCATTTCGCGGGACATGTCCATCAACAATGACTGATCTACAAAAAAGAGCCACATTGACTGTAGTCATTCCTCGGACACCTCATAGGCTGGGTTAAGACAGATTCGATGAGTTAGCCAACTTTCCTTTTTTTTGTACAAAAATAAAGTCAGTACATTGGCGGGTTTCTTCTACTACATCACATACCAACCCCAGTGGCCGAGTGGTAGACCGCTGGTACTGAGACCGGGAGGTACCTAGATCGATGCCTGGTGGGGGTTCAATTACAGGGCGCCGGAGATAGGCCACTAATGTTGACGAGCAACCACTAATGGGTGGCCGGTGCCGTCCGGAGGCCCTACAAGCCGAAAAGCCCCATAGTGTAATGAGGGGTGCGGGTCCTGTAAGAAGTTCAAACTAAGTCAGGGTACTCGCAATTCACCCCAGGGTGATCTGAAGGACCGCGCGGCATAAATCTCTCTCTTCTTCATCACATCATGAGCATGTCCCAGCCAAGTACGCCTCACCAATGCAAAAAGGCTCGCGATTTGCCAGCACAAGGCCAAGAATCCCAAAATGAGCCAGCGTATCATTGCAAATTGGGCTACCAGCAAGTTTGAGGTTCAACCCCCTAGTCTGCCGTCTCTCTTTATGCTCAAAAAATGCCCACTAATTAAGATTCTATGACGGGTAATGTAATGGGGCACCCTTTGTTAGGATGCCACGAAACTTCACGTACACTCGTACGTGCAGAGGCACTCTGCAGTAGCTAATCTACTCAAACAGCTAGTTTGAGTAAAAGACAAAAAGAGAACTGTATTTAATGTAGTTAAGCTATCAATATAACTTCAGTCTTTATCGAACTCTGTCAATCTACATTGTCGTATGAAGACAATCTGCTCACCACACATTACGCGCGTCTAGCAGCGATTGGTGGTTGAAATGTCTAAAATCAAACGATCTTTGAGCAGCGCATGAATATCCATCTCGGATAACATTGGTAGGAGATTGTCACGCTAGACAATCTCCCTGTTGACACCATTTGGTGTCAAAATCATGTAACGAGATACCTCGTTACACCTTCCTCTTAACCATAGTCACCTTGTTAATTATACTAAATTGATCGGGGACAGAATGATTATCTTTGGATCAATCTGGGAAGGGGAGCAATTGCAAATCAAATTCCAACACAATTACCAATATATCGCATAGTGTCAAAGTCCATGCGATGCGCTGCTGAAGCAGCCAAGATGGCGGCTACACGCATGTGTGCCGAAGAGAAAACTTATCTTGCCTCAGCATCAGGCGAATCGTATTTCGCTCGCTGCGACTATACACTTCTTGAGGTTCGCAAACAACTTATGCTTACGCATAAGTGTAAGAACCTTCCGGACGTGGATCTATGAATCTCCACGTCCGTCTTTCCATCGATAACCTGGCTATGGACGAAGACATCGTCAAAGTAACTCTGTGCGAAGTCTTGCACTGATCGCAACAGATTCGTAACACATCTGTTGAACGTTGCAGGGGCGTTACATAGCCCCTGTGGCATCACTGAACACTCCCAGAGCATACCACTGGGGGTGCTCGCTGCTTTGTATGGGATGTCCCAGGTTCACGCATGAGGATCTGATAGAAACCATCCACCAGATCCGTTGACGAAAAGATGTTACTTTTTGCCATACCATCAATGATGACGTGCATCCTCGGTATCGGCGTCTGGGGCGGTACCGTTGCAGCGTTCAATTTGTTGAACGCGTGCACAATCCACCACCCTCCTGTGGCCTTTCGCACACAAAAGTTCGGAGAGCTGTGTGGGGATGTCACACAACCAGCCGATAAGCGATCTGCAAAGACCCTCACATGACTAGCCGATAAGCGATCTGCAAAGAATTTTTCGATCGCTGTGACTTGTTCACGAGGCAGTGGCCACTGCTTTATGACACAGTACTTCGAATCGGGTTTCAGTTCAATTTCGTGCCGAGTGCATTTGTCCTTAGGCAACTCGCATGGCACGGATTCAGGGAAAACATCCCTGAATCCGACTAAATCCTTATACAAAGGATTTGTCTTCAAATACTCCCATAATTGAGACGTGTATCGCTCAATCCGGGTCTTCTCATCGAGGACACTTTCGTCCATCGATGACCTATTGAGAACCCGTTCGTTCTCAGCAAACACTTGTGCCGACCGAATGTCGGCGACGTACTCGTCCTCTGTGACGAGTACGTAGATCTGCTTGATTCCGTTACTACGCAGATCTCGCAAGAATCTGTTGGATTCTAGCGTTGGCAACTTGACTACCTCCGAAGCTGACTTAGGAGGTGTAACCAGATCAAGTGTATAAGCGCCTATACTCGATCCGTCATTCACCAAGACATTCACTGTCTCGGTGCTTTCCTGTGAAAAAGCATCCCCAGGTGGTTGAGGATCCACACCCTCAACATAACTCTCTTGGAATTTATCACTCTCAGGAACGCTGGAACTTTCTTCCATTACGTGTTCTGACTGTGGGTGCACTACCACAGTCACGTCCTCTTCGATCGACTCTTTTAGTCGATCGTGTTTGCTTTGCGATCGACCTCTGTTAGTCGATCTCGCTTTAACGTGTTGTTTATCCTGAACGGTACTAATCTCTCTTCTTGGATGCAAACTTCTTGGATGCAAACTTCTTGGTCTACATTCATGTTCCAGTCCACTCGATCTTTTCGAGTGGTGAACCTTCGGCGCAGCATGTGTCTCTACACAGGTGCCGGAAGCTGGTAACACAGTGTAGTGGCCTTCTACACTGTGATCTCGTGCAGTCGTACTAAAGACCGTACCACAAGTGAGTCCATTGTACTCACTCGTAGTACATCCACACGCTTGTGGACGCTCCAAGACGTTCATCAGATGGCCATTTGATAAAAAACGGCAGGCATCTTCACAGATCGATGCTGCCAGCTGGTCCACGGCTAGTATTTTCGAAGCCATGGCAGACCGAGGATGACGTCAAACTTTTCATCCAGATTCATTACGATGAAGTCATCATCGTGCTGATTTCCTTATAGCGTGTAGTGGATTCCCACTACAAGTGTGTTCACTGTTACGGATGCACCTGTTGCAACGCGCACCGTCATCCTCGTTGAAGGGATCTCTCGCTCAACATAGTTGAGCCTACTATCTTCTAGCGACTGGTGTCGAATAAAACTGTTCGACGCCCCACAGTCAACGAGGGCGCGAAGTGACATTCCACTTGTCACTTCGATCTTCAAAGTGATGAGGTACACCTCATCACAAGGGACAATAATGCACAGTGACTGTGTGCTGGGAGCAATCTTCGTCAATAGTCCTGCGAATTCTCTTGACGTTGCTGGATCAGCAGGGTGCCATTCCTAACTGACCCTGACCGCTTTTTGGCGGTCCGACTTGCTGTCGCGGTTTAGCGACATGGTCGGACCCGCACCTTGGACATTTCCTCGACCAACGGCGGTCATCACGTCCTGTCCTTGGATGTGATGCGGTGCTTGGAACACTATACTCGTTAGCGTAGTGCCCGATCTTTTGACAGCGACGGAATCTTGCCGCTCGCTTGTGACTCAGAGAGCAAGAGTTCTTGCTCTCGATGTAGCAGATGTCCATTGGTTCGGGACCTCTGTTTTTTTGTCGTCTCTTCGGACGATAGTTTGACGAGTTAGCCTGAGACATTCTCAGGCTAAAGTCCTCTTGTTCCTCATACGCTATCGCCTTTTCCAGTGTACGAAAGTCCTCTTGGAACATGTAGGTCTTGACCAGTTCGTCTACAAGACCATAGATTAACACGTTGATAAATTTGTGCTCATCAACAGGGTATTTCGTAACGCTACTCGCAAGGTATAGTAGGTGTTGTGCGTAAGCGTGCACATCACGCTTCCCTTGATTGAACCTCAGGAGTGCAGAGCGTGCTCTAACTCGGCCCTCGGCGGCTCAAACGTCTCTCTGAGCCGAGACTTCAAGGTCTCTAACGACACAAACACGTTTGGGTCGTGGAGCTTGAGCCCTAAGACCCAAGTCTTTACTCGTCCTGTCAAATTTGACAGGGCGAAGGTGACTTGCATCTCGTTTCCCTCGATGTGACGGGCCCTTATGGCATCGTCTATCTCGACGAACCGTCTCAAAAGGGCAATCTTCGTCGGTTCCCTTGTACCTTGAGATATCTACTTACAAGGTTTGGGTCGACGCATGTAAGTCGGCCCGCCCATCGACTGATGAGAGCCTTGCTGGTGAAACAAGGCTATCTTCTGTCTTTCGACGGCAAGTTACCCTTGTAGGAACTTGTTGATGTCGGCACGTTGCTTGTCTCTGTTTAAAGACTCCAACATGCCACTGATGGCGGTTGAGCCCACGAGCACACTCATGCGGCCGACTATCTCCCATTCTGAGTCACTCAGATGGGAGTAGCCTTCAAGTGTGACGTAGAGGCCGTCGTCTTCAACGTCCAACATGTTCATGTTGAACGGACACTCAGAAGTCGTTGGACGGACTACAAAGTGCTATCAGATGTAATGGGGCACTCTCTGTTCGGGATGCCATGAAACTCCACGAACGCTCGTAAGTGCAGAGGCACTCTGCAGTAGCTAATCAACTCAAACAGCTAGTTTGAGTAAAAGGCAAGAAGAGAACTGTATTTAATGTAGCTAAGCTATCAGTATAACTTCAGTCTTTATCTGACCATGTCAATCTACATTGTCGTATGAAGACAATCTGCTCACCACACATTGCGCGCGTCTAGCAGTGATTGGTGGTAATCTTGGTTAATATGTCTATAATCAAACAATCTTTGAGCAGCGCATGAATATTATCCAAAAGGGGATAATATTCCTTCAATATTACCTATCTTGGGTAATGTTGATCAGGAATTGTCACGCTAGGCAATCTCCCTATTGACACCGTTTGGTGTCAATATCGTGTAGCAATCTACCCCGCTACAGATACCGAACTTACGCCAAACGCCTGCGTATCGCTAATGATTCCAAAAGAGTAGGAAGCTTCACCAACTCAATTGCTTCAATTGTAATCAAGGAACGTCCCCCTGAATGAAAAAAAAACATTATGTCCAGGTGTTTTTTAATCGCCTTGGCCTACCCGAGAGAACCATCAATTTCTTTAGTGAAAGACATAAGCAAATTTTCCAGCAGCGAAGAAAGCTCCTGGAAGCTGCGCAGCATCAAAATTTACGGCTAATTCAGAATTTCGTCAAATGCTGCGCAGAAGTTAATTGTTCAGGCCTATTCTACGATACTACACCAAAAAAGACAGTTGCGCAGCAATAATCGAGGATTTAAAGAATTAGAAGTTTAGAGATAATTTGATCGCCAACGAAAACTATAAACCTTGAAATTCATCAGCTCGATGACAGTTGTTTTCTTTTTAATTTTTAGGCATGTACCTATATTGCCTTCACGGCCAATGCGGATAATGGTGACAAACTAAAGCCTTTTATAGGGAGACGTTTATCTTTTCTCAGTTTTTTCTGGTAAAACCCTTCAGTTTGATATAACGCTACATGGTTGGCTGACCATGAGTCGAGAATAGAGGGAACAATATCACATCAGTTGGATTTTACTGGCCAATTTTTGTCGCTATTGTACATAAGTAAGTGCAGAAATGTCGTGCGGTGGACTTCAATGTCATCTTTCCAGCCACTGTAAGCGATGTCCTTTGATCGAAAAGGTGTGAGTTAGTAAGTGGGTGAGTGTAAAGCCATTACACCAAACCAAAGCAAGCAATGGTCGGCATCACCACTGCAATAAATTCGTTAGAATTCGTGGTGACGATGCGGCTGTTGCATTATAGTAAATCAAAAAGCACAACAATGTGGAAGTAAAATCGAATTCACACCAACACATTCAGAACTTAACAGAACCAATTTATGGTTTAAAATTAATTTGACTGCATTCCTCAGTACGAGTCGATTAACTTTGCAGGCACTACCACTCTTGCATTACTGAAAGAGATGCTTACTTACACGATCATGCAGTTTCCTCGGCTTCATTTTGTCGACAACACCAGCGGGTTATCGTAAAGCAGTATCTCACTTGTTGCGGTGCCTTGACATCTTCGTAATAACAGGGGCGTCCAATTTAGCTACGCATGCGCTTGTAAAAGCTCCCCATGCACAACCATCTTAGTTTTCTCCTGTACACTCTTTTGCAGACCTGCATTGACCCTTAACAGATCCAATACAGCACAAGAAAGTAGTAAAATGTACAGTAATGAACAAGACAGATAATTATAACATGCGTCGCGTGCACGCGACACGAACGATCCGAATACGCATTTAATGATTCATACAGAAAATAGCAGTCTTACCACTCACTAGTGCAGTTACCTTTGCATAAACGCGTGATGTGGATTGTTTGTTGCTGTAGAGTCGTCACCCATTGTATACGATGAGCGATTAAGATTATCTGAGGACGCCAAATCCTCGAGTCCGCAAACTTCTCAGGCAAGGCTTGCTAGACGTACTTTTGCGCTAAAAACACATAGGAATGATTGCAAAACATACTGATTGGGTCAAGCATTGGTTCTCAAAACCGGTGATTGTGATGTAAAACCCTCAATACATGTCTACAATGTAGCCGATCATGTAGCGATATATCGAATTGAGAGGATTTTACCAGAAAATTGAGGTAAGATTAGCTTTTTCCCTTTTTATCGGAAAGCAGAACTCGGTGTTTTAATCGCAAGTCCGAAGTGTAGACCAGATTCAACTTCGCGAAAAACTAGAATGTTTGGATGACAGGTGTTCTCTATAGGAGTGGCTAAAATGATTTGAAACCGCCATGAGGGTAAGTGAAAATATTAGTTGTAGTTCCATAATTGTTTAAAGGTCACTTTTAATCTCTTTTAACACAGTTAAGTCATTCCCATGTTGACAAGAAAAATGTCTCGCATGTTCTATGTAATGCATCACCTCGTACAACAAATGATCTGGAGCTTGAGAATGTCCGCTCACGGGTTTGTGCCGCCCATCTGTACCACTACAATCCAGCCCTTTGATGCCGGAATCATCGTTATTTTCAAGATATACTGTATGCGCCTTTATCTTCATGAATGCTGTGGACCGAGACGAGAGCGGTGAAGTCAATATCTACAAGGTTAATTAGTTGACCGCCTGGTTAAGGAGCGTGGCAGCGTGGGACGATAATTAACCTAAAACGATGGGACATTATATTATCCACACTGTTATCCTTACAGCCTCGCCTTTGCATTCTTTATTTAATTAGGGGAAGAAGGGGTAAAACAAAATTTGCAGGATGCTATCGAAATCCTTCGTCCCAGGAATCACATGGCCATTTGCAATCTGATGTAATATCACGGGAGGATGACGCAGTGCACCGGGAGCTGTATGACAGTGATATTATCCAGATGCTATAGGAGGCTAAAGAGGATGAGGATCAGGAGGATAAGCAAGTGAAAGTGGCGTATACCAGGAAGTAGGAAAATTCGAAGCCTCTAAATGTTACTGCTTCCTCGATCCTGGATGATTGAGTTTTCGATAGTCGTGAGCTTCAGACATTCATCGTTATGGATGCCATCACTTGGAACACACTTGATACTTGGCTTCACTATCGAAGTACACTCTGACAATTCGTATATTAAATGCGTGCGTTATCACGCAAAACATGATGTCTCTGCAAAATAATTATTTTCGCATGTTTTTTGCAGCCCCAGGATAGTCATGAAAGTACTATGACTATGGCTTATATTTATGAGTAAGAGAAAATAAGGCGGTCATGTGAAGCTTGATGGAATGAGTTCTATAAACTATGGGTTATGAAGGTACGGGTTATCCCCGAATTGAATGTAGTCATTGAAGAGCAAATCGCTTTACCATTACCACGTTTCATGCAAGAGTCTGTAAATCAGTACCAGTCTCAACACCAGTACCACCTAGAAAAGTAAACGGTGCTAATCACATTACATCCAACTGCAACATGGGATAAGAAACTTCGTGCTTGCTAACGAGTGTTTCATTTATGATCCAACTGTCACACGATGGTTGCGCACACTCCATTTTGACCAACTATTCGTTTGCTAATTACTTTTTGCGTCCGCGTGCTGACCTTCTCCTCTCACCGGACTACCCACTCGCTGTATTCTTGCGAGCCCGGTCACACGAAGCCAACTCGATCGTGAAAGTGGGGATCCCGTTGTGACCCAGTATCGTTCTTGTTATAGAGTAAGCAGTATGGCAGCTCTTGGTATACATATTGTACCAATCTCTGCTGTTTTAACGGATGCTTACTATTTATGGGGGGGCACTGCAAGATGTACGAATGGCATACGACAAGCCTATGACTGTTTCAAGCGGTGTGCTTCCGTAGTATTTCATAAGCTGGGACAGTAGCAGGTCAGTTCTTGGTGTATTTGGTGTCGATTCTGCTTCCTTACGAAAGCTTACGTGTGTAACAAGCGGAGATGTGAGTCATCAGGATGTATTTCAGCTAAAATTTAAGCCGTGTCTGATACGAAATAAATATTTTACGAATCTTGTGGATGCTTGCATTGCTTCACTCCCCTTTGAGTTTATGCAAGCAACAATAAAAATTTTTCTGCTTTAAACACTAGAAGTGTACTTCAGCAACATATGTTGTCGAGTGCATATACAATAAAAGTGAAAGACTCCGTCGAACATGAGTTCAATTGTATACTTAATAAATGAGATGTTACATAGAGCTATAAACTGCAACTTCAATTGATTGTAAATGCGATGGATTCTCGTGCGTGGCATTCGTATCGATTGGTGTTGGGCATCACGTTATATATCGTGACTTGTGGCACTGGAATTTGAGAACCCAACAAGTCACTCAAGTCAAGTGCGTGCATCAAATGATCGTTTTTCTTGTCGGTCGAATTTTCACGTCAGCGACGTGCATTACTGTAGTGACCATCTTGCGTGCACGACCGGCAGTTGTACGCATCTAAGCGTTTTGCTATCCTTTGAGCTTTCAATACGTCGTTTTGCCCCCTTCCAACCTTCTTCGATTACGAAGGTGAACACGTTAACATTGTAGGGGGTTTCGTACTGACAACCACTTCATTTGTCTCCCCTTGAAGATTTGCCTGAATTCTCTTTAAGCTACGACGGTTGAAAAGCTGAATTCCTGTCAATTGTGGACCCGTCATATCGTCACACAACGACGATGTGGCGGCAAGACAACTTCAATTGCACAAAGGTTGAACATAGCACATTGAAGCTTCTGTGGTAAAGCGTTTGGTACATTTTTTGCAGTTATTTGCGAGATGAAACTGCAAGAATCATGTGCCTCAATTAATTCTGAAGTGACTCTGTCCTATGGAATATAATGATCACGATTGAAGTAAAGTGCTACTGTCAAGTGTACAGGTGGAGCTATCGGTGATGTCTTCCTACGATCTGCGACACGCTGATCGCGTATCATGGGGGTTACCAGGTGTATAAATACCGGAAGAAATACATGGAGTTTGCGTTATTGACATGCGGAGGTGAGGTCAGGGTACAAGGTGCTTAATCGACCACCAGATATACACGATCTCGATCCCAAGATTCATGATCCCGACTTCATGACATGCCACCGCAATCCCAAGTTTTAGGACCACACAAGAAGATATATCAAGACGTTGATAGACAAGGTAACGGGTACATCTTGTACCACAAATAATAACCATTACCAGGATCCGCAATCAGACGTTTTTCTACCCAGCTGTATATGTATCTGATGTGGACAGCAGGTTAAAAAGAGGGTGATTATCATGAAGGGGCGACGCGTGATATCGGATCCCAAGATGTACATTGGTGTGGTCATATCTCAGTTACACAAATAAAACGCTATCAAATGTTACCTCAGATACCGAAAGTCTCTCTCAAGCAAGGCCTCGTGGTCCTGATCACCCCCTTTGCAATCTAAGGGTGTGTCACTGATCAGACTGCGGGCCAGATCCAGGCGCACCAGGATCAGACCAAAAAACCTAAATTTGCCGGTCTGATAGAAAAGAAAAGGATTTATAACAGCGCACCTCTGCATATTATAGTCAATCTACATCGTCATCCAGAAAAGATCGAGGTCCTGATTAAAAGTAGTGCCTCTAAAAGCTTCTAAAAAAGCATAAATAATGGCTCATGGTGAAGCTGGACCGACCATGTGCTCCCGTCTCACCGACTGTATTTGATACAATGCGCGGATCTATAGCAAGCGATGGGACGAAGAAGACACAATTATCTTTCCCGAATCTCAAGCCAGGTACAATGATCATGCACCACTCAAAGATTTCGATGCCAGCATAGACAACAGCTTTGTTAGAAGAGACATCGCGACGAACGCGCTCGTACTCGATGTGAAATTCAGAAACAATCTGGTTTGATGGGAAAATTGTTTGACATGAATGGATGAGGGGCAGGATACCAAAGGACAAGCCAATATTGAAAAGAGGACGTCGAGTGTTGAGAAGATTCAAAGGAAGCAACCACAAAGTTAGCAACCCTAATATTATTTGTTAAGATACATCTTACGCTTAGGATATAAAGATCAGACGAATCATTCAAAAGTGAACAAATAATGTATCTAACAACAGTCAATTTGTATATCAAACTCGCTTTCTGATATGAGTACTAGTTTCGAGAATTTTGCAAAGTCATATTACTGTCATCGACTTGTTGTATGCCATTCGTACATCTGCAGTGCCGCTCACACCCAGAATTAATAAGCAGTCGTTAGGACAGCAAAAAAACCGTACTGTAACGGGATATCCCGTTGCATTATATTGACACCAAACGGTGTCTATAGGGAGATTGTCTAGTGTGGCAATCTCCTGCCAACATAACATTACCCAAGAAAGGTAATATTGAAGGAAAATTATCCCCTTTTGGATAATATTCATGCGCTGCTCAAAGATTGGTTGATAAAGACATATTAACCAAGATTACCACCAATCACTGCTAGACGCGCGCAATGTGTGGTGAGCAGATTGTCTTCATACGACGATGTAGATTGACAGAGTTCGATAAAGACTGAATTTATATTGATTGCTTAGCTAAATTAAATACAGTTCTCTTCTTGCCTTTTACTCAAACTAGCTGTTTGAGTTGATTAGCTACTGCAGAGTGCCTCTGCACTTACGAGCGTTCGTGGAGTTTCATGGCATCCCGAACAGAGAGTGCCCCGTTACATCTGATAGCACTTTGTAGTCCGTCCAACGACTTCTGAGTGTCCGTTCAACATGAACATGTTGGACGTTGAAGACGACGGCCTCTACGTCACACTTGAAGGCTACTCCCATCTGAGTGACTCAGAATGGGAGATAGTCGGCCGCATGAGTGTGCTCGTGGGCTCAACCGCCATCAGTGGCATGTTGGAGTCTTTAAACAGAGACAAGCAACGTGCCGACATCAACAAGTTCCTACAAGGGTAACTTGCCGTCGAAAGACAGAAGATAGCCTTGTTTCACCAGCAAGGCTCTCATCAGTCGATGGGCGGGCCGACTTACATGCGTCGACCCAAACCTTGTAAGTAGATATCTCAAGGTACAAGGGAACCGACGAAGATTGCCCTTTTGAGACGGTTCGTCGAGATAGACGATGCCATAAGGGCCCGTCACATCGAGGGAAACGAGATGCAAGTCACCTTCGCCCTGTCAAATTTGACAGGACGAGTAAAGACTTGGGTCTTAGGGCTCAAGCTCCACGACCCAAACGTGTTTGTGTCGTTAGAGACCTTGAAGTCTCGGCTCAGAGAGACGTTTGAGCCGCCGAGGGCCGAGTTAGAGCACGCTCTGCACTCCTGAGGTTAAAGCAAGGGAAGCGTGATGTGCACGCTTTCGCACAACACCTACTATACCTTGCGAGTAGCGTTACGAAATACCCTGTTGATGAGCACAAATTTATCAACGTGTTAATCTATGGTCTTGTAGACGAACTGGTCAAGACCTACATGTTCCAAGAGGACTTTCGTACGCTGGAAAAGGCGATAGCGTATGAGGAACAAGAGGACTTTAGCCTGAGAATGTCTCAGGCTAACTCGTCAAACTATCGTCCGAAGAGACGACAAAAAAACAGAGGTCCCGAACCAATGGACATCTGCTACATCGAGAGCAAGAACTCTTGCTCTCTGAGTCACAAGCGAACGGCAAGATTCCGTCGCTGTCAAAAGATCGGGCACTACGCTAACGAGTATAGTGTTCCAAGCACCGCATCACATCCAAGGACAGGACGTGATGACCGCCGTTGGTCGAGGAAATATCCAAGGTGCGGGTCCGACCATGTCGCTAAACCGCGACAGCAAGTCGGACCGCCAAAAAGCGGTCAGGGTCAGTCAGGAATGGCACCCTGCTGATCCAGCAACGTCAAGAGAATTCGCAGGACTATTGACGAAGATTGCTCCCAGCACACAGTCACTGTGCATTATTGTCCCTTGTGATGAGGTGTACCTCATCACTTTGAAGATCGAAGTGACAAGTGGAATGTCACTTCGCGCCCTCGTTGACTGTGGGGCGTCGAACAGTTTTATTCGACACCAGTCGCTAGAAGATAGTAGGCTCAACTATGTTGAGCGAGAGATCCCTTCAACGAGGATGACGGTGCGCGTTGCAACAGGTGCATCCGTAACAGTGAACACACTTGTAGTGGGAATCCACTACACGCTATAAGGAAATCAGCACGATGATGACTTCATCGTAATGAATCTGGATGAAAAGTTTGACGTCATCCTCGGTCTGCCATGGCTTCGAAAATACTAGCCGTGGACCAGCTGGCAGCATCGATCTGTGAAGATGCCTGCCGTTTTTTTATCAAATGGCCATCTGATGAACGTCTTGGAGCGTCCACAAGCGTGTGGATGTACTACGAGTGAGTGCAATGGACTCACTTGTGGTACGGTCTTTAGTACGACTGCACGAGATCACAGTGTAGAAGGCCACTACACTGTGTTACCAGCTCCGGCACCTGTGTAGAGACACATGCTGCGCCGAAGGTTCACCACTCGAAAAGATCGAGTGGACTGGAACATGAATGTAGACCAAGAAGTTTGCATCCAAGAAGTTTGCATCCAAGAAGAGAGATTAGTACCGTTCAGGATAAACAACACGTTAAAGCGAGATCGACTAACAGAGGTCGATCGCAAAGCAAACACGATCGACTAAAAGAGTCGATCGAAGAGGACGTGACTGTGGTAGTGCACCCACAGTCAGAACACGTAATGGAAGAAAGTTCCAGCGTTCCTGAGAGTGATAAATCCCAAGAGAGTTATGTTGAGGGTGTGGATCCTCAACCACCTGGGGATGCTTTTTCACAGGAAAGCACCGAGACATTGAATGTCTTGGTGAATGACGGATCGAGTGTAGGCGCTTATACACTTGATCTGGTTACACCTCCTAAGTCAGCTTCGGAGGTAGTCAAGTTGCCAACGCTAGAATCCAACAGATTCTTGCGAGATCTGCGTAGTAACGGAATCAAGCAGATCTACGTACTCGTCACAGAGGACGAGTACGTCGCCGACATTCGGTCGGCACAAGTGTTTGCTGAGAACGAACGGGTTCTCAATAGGTCATCGATGGACGAAAGTGTCCTCGATGAGAAGACCCGGATTGAGCGATACACGTCTCAATTATGGGAGTATTTGAAGACAAATCCTTTGTATAAGGATTTAGTCGGATTCAGGGATGTTTTCCTGAATCCGTGCCATGCGAGTTGCCTAAGGACAAATGCACTCGGCACGAAATTGAACTGAAACCCGATTCGAAGTACTGTGTCATAAAGCAGTGCCCACTGCCTCGTGAACAAGTCACAGCGATCGAAAAATTCTTTGCAGATCGCTTATCGGCTAGTCATGTGAGGGTCTTTGCAGATCGCTTATCGGCTGGTTGTGTGACATCCCCACACAGCTCTCCGAACTTTTGTGTGCGAAAGGCCACAGGAGGGTGGTGGATTGTGCACGCGTTCAACAAATTGAACGCTGCAACGGTACCGCCCCAGACGCCGATACCGAGGATGCACGTCATCATTGATGGTATGGCAAAAAGTAACATCTTTTCGTCAACGGATCTGGTGGATGGTTTCTATCAGATCCTCATGCGTGAACCTGGGACATTCCATACAAAGCAGCGAGCACCCCCAGTGGTATACTCTGGGAGTGTGCAGTGATGCCACAGGGGCTAAGTAACGCCCCTGCAACGTTTAACAGATGTGTTACGAATCTGTTGCGATCAGTGCAAGACTTCGCACAGAGTTACTTCGACGATGTCTTCGTCCATAGCCAGGTTATCGATGGAAAGACGGACGTGGAGATTCATAGATCCACGTCCGGAAGGTTCTTACACTTACGCGTAAGCACAAGTTGTTTGCGAACCTCAAGAAGTGTATAGTCGCAGCGAACAAAATACCACTTCTTGGCTGCATCGTAGGTATACACGGCTTACGCCCTGATCCAGAAAGATCAAGGAGGTTAGCGACTGGGCTGTGCCAGTCGACGTCAAGGGACTTCGAAAGCTCCTTGGCTTAGCGGCGTACTTGCACACGAACTCGCGCAACTACGCCAAGATGACTGTACCTGCATCTCCTTAATTAAATAAAAACGAGAGGTGTTCATGGAGTGCTGAGTGTCAGCACTCTTTTGAAGTTATAGAGAAAAGCTTGATATAATCGCATGTGTACAATCGCCTGTGTTGGCGATTGCGACCAAGATAGACCATTCCATGTGGTCTGTGAAGCCAGCGATTTTGCAATAGGCTGCGCGTTATTGCACTACGACCCAGACGGCGTTGAGTGCGTCGTCTGTTATCAATCGCGTCAGCTGCAAGCAGCTGAGCAAAATTATCCGGTTCATGACAAGGAACTCCTTGCCATGGCATAAGCACTGTCGAAGGTTAGGATACATCTCTTAGGAGATAGGCCCTTCATCATTTATACCGACCATGCGTCATTACGCACGGCCGTAAACAGTTCACAACTCCTGCAACGAAGGACGAGGTGGCTGTCTTTCTTCGCGGAGCACAACTTCTTCGTCGAGTATAAACCAGGACGACTTAATGTCGTCGCTGATGCTCTTTCGCGTCGGCCCGATTTCGAGCCGTCTGCTCAACCCAACTGTAGGGGTGATCCCACTGTTGCAAAACTATTAGTGAGTGTTCCGTCGTCTAATCTGCTCTAAGACGTGCGGAAGGCATACGCAGAAGATGAGTCTCTTCTGAGATTGAAGGATTCTGTAGACAATCCATGCAGTCAAGCTTTGAAAAGCTTGTCGTCCCAATACCACTCTTCAACCGGTATTCGGTTCTTGATGTACTGCTGTACAATAGAGCAGTTAGCGGCGACACACTTCGTTTCGTCGTTCCCGCTCATAATGATGTGCGATTGAGCATTGTGTATGAGTGTCACGATGCCCCAACAAGTGGGCATCGCGGTAGCAGAAAAGACTTACCTCATGGTTACTCGTGACTTCTACTGGCCTTGCCAGTATGATTTTGTGCGCAAATACATTCGCGTTTGCGAGTTCTGTCAACGGTTGAAGCCTAGTCCTTCGTCTTGTGCACCCTTGCAGCCTCAACCGATTCCGGCAGAGTGCTGGCAGTCCGTATCGATGGACTTCGTCTTGAGGTTTCCCAATGACGCTCACAAGAATACTGGTATTCTTGCATTTGTTGATCGTTTCAGCAAGATGGTACATCTTGTTGCTGTACCGGAGTCAATTACAGCTCAGGGATGTGCTCGCGTCTTCATCGACACTATCTTCTGACGTCACGGATTTCCCCGTGAACTCGTATCTGATGGGGACACCCGCTTCACAACGGAGTTCTGTCAATCCGTGTTTAGTTTACTCAAAACACGGTTAAAGATGTCAACTTCTGACCATCCCGAAACAGATGGTCAGATGGAACGCGTCAGCCGCGTCTTCGAAGAGATACTTCGAGGGTACGTCCACTTGTTTTCGAGTTGAAGAGGATTCTTGCCGATGGCGGAATTCGCCATCAACAACTCGGTGCATGCTTCTACAACGCATACACCGTTCTTTGTGAATGGCCTACGACATCCACGTTTACTCGCCTTCTTAGATTGTGACTCTAGTTTAAGGGGTGGGGGTGGAATCGCTCAAACAAAACCCGATCTGGTTCTTGCTCATCACACGTCGACACTGGTGTCGACGTGATGGATGCCGATGTCGATGCGATCGTTATCAATGACGATGACGACGATGCTGGCATGTTCAGCATCGCCAATGACTGCCACAGTGAGGACGATGACGCCCGCACTGATGAAGACAACGTTCTTTTAGCAGTGCACACGAAGCACGCTTCTGTTAACAAGGGTGAGTCAGCAGAGAAATTTCTGCTGACTCGCGAAGCGGTTGTACGCTTCGTTCAAGACTCCATTGCAGATGCAGTAGACAAGCAGAAAAGAAACGCAGGTAAACACGGAAGAGCAAATGTAATTTCATTTGATGAAGGAGACTTAGTTTTGCTGTCAGCAGTAGATCTACTAAAACACGCAGTGACAAACGTGGGTAGCAGCAAACTACTGCCCAAGTGCATCGGTCCATTTCGTTTGTTGTGCCGCACGGGCAACGCATATAAGATTGAACTGCCTCAAAGGATGCGTACGCATCCTACGTTTTACGTTGGACGTCTCCGCCCTTAATATCAGCACGAGCCCGTTTCGAGAGGCAAAGAGCACCTCCGCGGTCAAGGGCCGAGACCACCTTCGAATGGTCCCGTATCAACGATTCAGTCTGCTCGACTAGCAAAGCGACCTGCTCACGCGGTTGAGCGATGTCTCGAAGAGCTGCATCCAGCTCGTCACGAAGAGAACGAATCGAACGTTCGCTCTCAAGTTGCGTGAACGCAAACGCGGCACGATCGTTCGAACGATCGTACGCTAAGGAATCGTAAATATCCTTTATAAGATCATGGAGCTCATAACGCCAAGTCCGTTCATGAGCCAGGTCATTTTGCAACTGTTTCATTACACGGTTCAGCTCTTGAACATCAAGCTGGTCCGACCATCGAGCAGGATCAGGTGTTCCCGCCACCACCACATCCTTCGGTGGATTCAAGCGGTAGTCAACGCTTTCTAGTGAAGCGTATTTTGAACCACCGCAACGTGAATGGCGTCTAGACGAGTTACCTCGTCCGCTGGCGTGGCTACTCACCAGCGTGGGACAGCTAGGAGCCTCGTGCCCAGCTGATTGTTAATGTCCTTGGTCTCGTCGAGCAGTATGACGAGACCCACCCGCTGCGTTCGAAGAAAGATCGTCTGAAAACGACCTCCCCGAACGCGAGTACAGATATTGCAAATTGTCAATCCCTTCGGCCATCTCAGCAGAGATGCGAGCCCTCCAGTAGGGAACATTAGGGTGGTAGACATCCCTAGAGGCACGATTCGCATTTTCCAGGCAACCTGGACACGAATTACCCCACGAGAGACAGGGTAACCCTACCTCTCTTGACAGTCGGTGCAACTTGTATCGCGCCCCGACTGGGTTGCGCTTCTCAAACCTGATGCAAGCTGTATCAAGTTTACCGGGCAAGGCCTCACGGCCAATACACTCGATGTTATGGGTGAAGGCATTTCATCCTTGGACCAGGGCCTTACCGTCCCGAACACGGCTGCCATTGTACCACCGATGTTTCAAAAACGCATCGATGAAGAACTATTCCTCAGCACGGATAGTTTCCGTGCTAGAATTAGGAGGAAATATCCTCCTACAGCCGAATAACGGGATTCGATCCCGTTCAGTGGTCATGCAGGCCACTCTACCTAACTCCTTGGATGACAGCGTCCAAGGAGATTCCACTTGAGGAGCGTGGCGCAGGAAATTGCGATCCCTAGTCTCTTGATTGGTGTCAGTATGAGTACTACACCAGTATCAGCTCTATCTTTCGACTTGCTTATTTCGTGGTGACGTTTGAGTGCGTCAACCCCATCACCACGCTTCCTATTGTCAGATGAACTTGCGTGAGAAGAGGATTCGTCAGACGAATCGCTCGGTCCGAAGATCTCGGACACGATGCCACCATGTCCCCCAAATTCAGTAACCTGGCTCTTGCAGTGTCCGCCCCGGATGATCTGGAGGCGTGAGGACGTCGCCTTCGAGTGGGATGGATCATCCGACTCGCCAGAATAAATGATCTCCATTTCAGTCCCATCCGCATTGCGATTCGTAGCACCCCCTGCAGACGCAGTGGGTATTTCTGTCGCATGTGGTGACTCACCACGTGGACTGTTCACAATAAACACTGCCTGTTGCTAAATCGAGACAGCAGGAGAAGGATCACCTGCTTCTGAAGAAAGAGAAGAACCCTCTTAGGCTGCACGCATGCGTGCAACCGCCTTTCTTGCTGCTGCAGTAGCAACTAGCTTGTGTGTTAAAATCATGCGTTGGATTAAAAATGAATGGAATTTTTATTCGACCAACAAGTGCTCCCAGAAAGATCCAACGGTGGTCACCTTGTACCAATCATTTAATTCAATCAACGGGTGATTGATTGTTAAGGGGGGGGTGATGTAACGGGGTATCCCATCACATGATATTGGTACCAAACGGTATCAATTGGGAGATTGTCTAGCGTGACAATCTCCTCCCATTTACTCGAGATAGGTAATATTGAAGGAATATTATTCCTTTGGACAAAATTCATGCGCTGCTCAAAGATTGGTTGATAGTATACAAAGCAACCAAGATTACCACCAATCGCTGCTAGACGCGCGTAATGAGTGGTGAGCAGGTTGTCATCATACGACAATGTAGAATAATATAGTTAGATAAAGACTGAAGTTACATTGATAGCTTAACTACCTTAAATACAGTTCTCTTTTTGCCTTTTACTCAAATTAGCTGTTTGAGTAGATTAGCTTCCTCTGCATGTACGAGTGTACGTGAAGTTTCGTGGCGCCCCAAACAAAGAGTGCCCCGTTACACCGATCGCATTGCGATTATTTTCCGTACATCAGTCCCATTTATTGGTGCTCTTGGCGCGCATGGAGGCGCTTATTTGCATGCAGATCTATTCGTATTAGCTTTTTGTGCACGTACGTTAAATGATTTAGTACCGCAGTGTCCCACGGGATATCTCGTCCCCCGCAGGATGGAGCCCTCCTTGGAGCCACCCGTGGTACTTCATTCTGTCATGCCATAAATGTAGTAAGTATGTGCATCAGCATATATTATATTTTCCTCATCTGGTGGTGTGTATTTTTATGTTCTGAATAGTTGTTTTTGTTTTCTCTTCGTCAATACACAAACGATCAATTTGTCGGCCAAGAGCCCCCCCCTTGGTTCTAAAATTTTTTCCATCTTGCCAAACGTTTTGTTCTGGTCTATATTTTTGCTCCATCTTTCGTGGTATCTTTTTATTTTCTCACCGTGTAATATATTTTTAACCCCCGCAATACTATGCATTTATTTTCGCAAATCTGGAATATATTTGGTACTTTCCCCTGAACATCTCTAAAATCTGGTTTGTCCTATCATTTTCTCGCGCACTGTATGCCGACGAACGAAACTCATCTCACATGACACAACGAGAATATTTTCACGTGACTGAAACTTGACCCGCCCATTTAGCTTGCATGCGATCGCAGAACGGCGATAACTTTCGGCTCTGATTACTCACAGCTGCAAGCATGTCACTAACAACGCCTTCCGATGCATTAACTTGGTGCAGCAGATCCAGTGTGTCCTCACACAGCGCAAGCAGTTGCTCTTTCTGCTTTGGAGTTGGCGTGAAGTCGGCACCGTCATCAAACAGCTCGCAAAAAGCTACAGCACGTAACAAGCCGACGACGATCTGCTCGGTATGCGGGGCGATACGAGGCCACGCAGCAAGTACTGTAGCCCGTACACTTTCGAGTGTCTCTACCAGGAGCTCAACATTGACGCTCTCAAATCCTGCGACAAAGACCGTCAGTAGTGGCTGCAGGTAGCGGATGACATTGAAGCTGTGCGGCGCTCCCTGACGAACAACGAGAGCTCGGAGGTGGCGAACGAAGACAATTCGCAGGGCGACATCGCTGCACATACTTGTGTCACGAAGTAGCCGCGGCATGAACCGGTCGTAGTGCTTGAATTCACCGGGGGGAGAGACCTTGTCGAGAGATTCGACAAGACAGTCCAGCAACACGTCCAGTGTACGCGGTTTGCGTACAACAAGTGACGTATGGAGTACCTCAAGCAGCACGTCGGAATACCATCGCAGCTCAGTAGATGTGACATTCTGGACAATGTGGCGCAGCAATCGCACTCCAATCAATTGCGTCGAGTCAGTCAAATCATCAATCAACGGGAACGTAAGCGCCAGCAGACGACCAAGTAGGTCTCCGCCAAGATGCGGGAAGCTCACTTGCTCCACTACCCGCAGCATCACTTGCTTACAAATGGACGTGACTACCACCCACTCTTGTTGATCCACATCGTGCGCACACAACGCCACCATCTGCGCAACGTACGTTGTTACCAATTCTTCTCGGTTATGTGCATTTACAAGCAACACAGCGCTGTCCAGCACTTCATCAGCCATGACAAGACTCTGCATCGTACTGGCTCCTGGTAGGTCTGCCTCCGTCACAAAGTAACAAGCCGTAAGCACGAACGGCAGCCATTGCGTCAACGCATTGACGTCTTCTTTATCTCTCCTTGTATGTGACAATCGATCAATGAACGACCGCATGACGACCAAAAGTGGTACCAACCGATCGTCGAGAGCGACCAACACGGGTACATTCTGCGTGTCGGCAGCTGCTGTTGTAACACACTTGATCACAACGCGACTGAGGTCCCGGACAATGCAAGCGGCGGCAGGAACGAGCAGATGGAGGTCACGGTCTTCAGCGTGCCGTATCGTATCGGCCAGTTGCTGGACAGCCTTGAGCTCCTCCCGTGGACACTGCGAGGCATCGGCCAGTAGCTTGTCGCGGAGCTCTTCGACGTCGAAAGTCTCGAGCATTTCTATTGTGTACGACTGGTGTGTCCGGCGACAAAATGTGTCGTTTTTTACAGCACGTAAAACCGTTTTTTAGAGTGGTTGTTATCATCTTTTTATCCGTTTTTGTTTATTTGTTTTTACACATTCGACGAAACTTGAGCTCGACGACCACCATGACGCTGGAACACGCTGCGCCGGACGCGCTCACTCGCCTCAAAGTTCGTGGCTCTTGCTTGCGGTTTTCTTGAGTATCGTCTGCTGTTCTATGCTGATGATTCGCATTTTCTTTCTGTCTTGGTGTGTGCGCAGGTGAAGGATCTGCAGCGAGAGCTCAAGAAACGCGGTCTGGACGCAAGTGGGTTGAAAGCGGTGCTGCTTCAGCGTCTGAAAGAGCATGTGCAGCAGGTTGTAGAGCGGAGATGAAGAAGAGGTGGTTAGGTGTTTGAGGAACTGACTTGAGGTTGACTCTATGGTGGTTTTTTGGTCAGGATGAGGTCTTGAAGCTGCAAGAGAAGGGGGAACTTGAGCAGGAGAAAATGGGGAAGGAGGAAGTGAAGGAGGAAAATGAGGAGATGAAAGTGGTGGACGAGAAAGTTGTGGTGGAGGATAGACAGGAACGGGAAGGAATGGAGGAGGAGGAAAAGGATAAAGAGAACGTGGAGGAAGAGCAGATGCAGCAAGAGGTAGATGAAGAGGAAAGGACAAAGGCATCGGATTGCCAAGAGAATGAAGACATAGGTATGGAAGGCAGTGGGGAGCAGCAGGATGAGGCACTAGAGGTCGATGGAGAGGGCGGAAAGAGTGCAGAGACAGGAGTGTTGAAACGACACCGGGGTGCTGACAACGATCAGAATGATTCATCGGGTACAAAAAGGCCCAAGCTGGATGATGATTTCGAGACCAGCGGTCAGCAGCTTAAAAAGGAAGATCAGAGCAAAACGGAAATGCCGCTCGATGATACCGAGGCTGATGAAAAGGTGGTAGACGGATGTGGTCGAGGGTACGGCGTGTGCTGTTTCTTGGATGTCTGAGTGCTTGATGGAAAATGGGGCTGAGTTTCTTGTCTTGCTTTGTGTTTTCTGCTACTGTTGGCCGGTGATAAATGACCGCAGAGACGATGGAAACAAGACAACAATTCGGATTGACAACTTTGTCCGGCCGTTCACGTTAAATGCTGTCAAGGTTAGTCGCTTGTGTAGACATTCGTGGTGCAGTGGACTGATCCGAGATTTGTGTAGGCGCTCGTGCGAGAATGTGGTCCCTTTGTGGAAGGTGGCTTCTGGATGGATGCGATCAAGACGCACTGCTTCGTGACGTACACCAGCTCCGAAATTGTCTGCGCTTCTTTTCCTGACAGTGTGCACAGCTGGTAACTGACTATGACGCTGGTTGCATGCAATACAGGCAGAAAGTAGTATCGCTGCACTTGACGGTAAATTGTGGCCTCCTGAAAATGGGCGGTCGCTCAAGGTCAAGTTTGTAGACCATACAGCCGTGGAGGTACGGTTACGCTAATCATGGCTGCGAAGCGACTGGTGCTAAGCTCGTTGCTGTCTCGTACGGATCAGGTTGCACAGCTCGGCGAGGCAAACATTCCAAGTCAACCAAAACGTGGAAATAACAGCGAACAAGCTCCTCAGCGGCCGGGTAAAGATTGAACGAAGGACGGACTGGTTCTGATGCAAAAGACTGATGACGTTGGCTGTTCGTGTAGAGGTGACGATCGACGAATTTTTTCTGAAGACCGAGACTAAACCTGTGCTTTACTACTTGCCACTGACCGACGAGCAGATCAAGCAAAAGAAGGAGCGCCAGAGGCAACCAGAAGGGCAACCACGCAAACGTCGACACCGCGGTGGGCGCAAGAGAAACAGACGTGCCCGTTTCCAGCGGCGCTAGCTACATTTTTCTGCGTGGACCGCAGGGCTAGCGGCTGCGCTAGAAATTCCGCGATACACGTCATGCTTGTTGCACGCGAATGCCGTCAGCTTGGAAAAACAGCAGTGTGACCATAACCATCCTACAAACAAGATCAACAATGACAATGCATCCCAATCGTGTTTGCCACCTGCTTATCGTCCTTTTGCAGGCTTTTACACCTCTTACCGTTCCACGTGCATGTTACTTCCCGCCACAACACAATATCTGCCCAGCCCGTTCATAGCTCAAAGGGAATGTCCTCGTCCGAATATAGTACATCGTGCTCCAGCCCAATTTTCGTATCGTACAGAAGCGAAACGCAGCTGGTCGCGTATGCCTTGTCCGTGTTCAGGCGCTCCAAGATGCGCAGCAGTGAACGCACAGCAGATAGCAATTCTTCTTTCTTGATAGGGTTGACGTCGTGCGCATCACCAGCTCCTCCAGCTCTGCCTTCTTCAACAGCATCTCCAGCGTCCGTGCCCACGCTAGCGACTGCTTCACTCTCCCGTTCAATTGCCGCTATCATGCGGTGGAGATTGTGCAGCAGCCAGTCGTACAGGAACCCACGTGGCTTGGATTTAAACGCTTGCAATATGAGGGGGTCGTCTTCTTCCGTGGCAATGTGGACCAGATGCACCAACGTGAAGGATAGCTGTGTCTCCAATTGCTCCTTGTATCGAAACTCAGTCACATCCTTCAAGTCCGATGCCGTCTCCAGCGCATCCATCGTGGCTTGAAGCGCCAACTGGAAAAAAGAACCGAACGCACTACGGCTTTGAGATACCCGCAACGCTGTAGCAGCACTAATGCGCACCTTGAAATTCTCCTGCTGTGCAATGGCGGTCAGTAGTGCCTGAAACACAGAAGGCGCCCACGTCGCCGACGCTAGTGGCAAGCTTGGACACAGCAGAACCTTAGCAATGGCATGACATGCATTCCACCTAACTTTAGGTGAGCCTGCGTTGATCTTTCCAGAAAGCACAGCCATCGCTTGTCTCAACAAATCGTCCAGTGAGGCAAGGCTCTTTCCAGAAAGAGTGCGCCGGAAAGGTGTGAAGCTAATCCAGCGACACACGAGTCCCAATGTACGCGCCACACTTGAAGCCACCTTGTCGTTATCGTTGATGTAGATCAACATCTTCTCAACCACAAGGCGCAGCTGCTTCTCCGGAAGTAGTTCGTACAGCACCTGCGGAGGGAGCCGAAGAGACGCCATCGAAGGGTCCACCCTTGCCGCGAACGTCGCCGGTTGATGTAGTACAGGACCACCGCTTTCTGTGACGGACTCTGGGCCAGGGGTGGTGCAAACGTTGCCCAGCGCCCATGCAGCCCGAACACGCACATTTAAGGTCGAGTCGCCAAGCGCTTCCACTGCTAAACTCACCACATTAGAGGCAAATCCGCGCGTCTTGAAAGTCGGAGCAAGGCATAACGAACCAAGCAGCCGGAACCCTGCAGCCCGTACAACTGGAGAGCTATCCTTCGGAGTTTGCAGGAATATTCGAGTGTACGAGTCCAGGCACGACACGTTCGGCCCCGATCCATGATACCCTCCACTTTTGGCTGCCAGTACTGGAAGACGTCGGGACTGCCTCTTTTCACCAAGCCAAGCCCAGTCTCGACATGACAATAGCGTGAAGCATGCGCAGACACTTGCACGAACATGATGCGATGTATCGTAAAATGCTCGCACCAAGTGCGTCGCCATAAACTCCAAACAGTCGACACGGCAAGCATCCTTCTCGTGTCTACTTCCAACTACAGCGGGATCAGAACATCCATTCTCGCCCTTGATGTAATTCTCCAGTATCTTTACCGCTTGAAGGCGTATGTTGGGATCCATGTCTTGAAATGCCACTAGCATAAATTCCGATAGTCGCTTCCAGTTCATACTCAGTGCTGGCGAGTAGTTCTTTGCAATCTTGGACAAAAGGGACATTGCCTCCAATCGTAAGAGCGAGCGCGACGGATCATCAGGCCGTGACGCCACCAACAGAAGCTCTTCGACAAACGAATTGTGACGTAGTAACCATGTTCCGCATGCAATTGATACGTGAGCGACCCGGATTACACGGTCGACGTCACTCGTCTGTACCATCCAATCCAAGATGGACGGGAGAGTCTCTTGAACGTTGAGAAGCGCAGACATACACGATAAACTTGCCATACGCACACCGTGATCTACCGCACACCATTAAGACATCAAAAGTAAGTCCGCAATTCACCACACGAGCAACAGCACTACCATTTGCATACACGTACCAGTCGATGATGCCGCCACGTACAAGCTTGACGCAAGGGCCTTCAAAATATCCTCCAAACTAGGCGTGAGCTCGATCTGGTCGAGAACTGCGACGACGTTTCGATACGGGAAGTGCTGAATCACTGACGTTGTGCTCTACATTGGACACCACATTCAATCACGCACTCAGCAAACGATGGGCCACACAGAGCATGTCAACACAAGTTGCTCACCTTGAGTATATGTAACAACGGCGCGGGTTCTTTCTCGTGCTGAATGCAATACACCAAAGTGACGTGCACCTGATACAGCATCAAAGAAACTCGCCTCGGCAACGACGCGAACGACATCGGCATCGTGGTTGACGTAATCGCACCCACTCCAAGCGGACGTTGAAAATACATTTTCAGAGGTAGCTTCTCCCAGAAAGCGTCCAAGAACTTTGCAGCTGTCACGCGGGCCTTTTCGCTTGGGTCAGCGATAAGTAGAGTAAGAACGGACGGCGTATTGTCGAACAACGTCATATAAGGTGTTGTCTGTTCCGGCAAGTACAAGCCCATCGACGACGTGATGGCTTTGGGAAAATGCTGCGCGATCGCTTCAAGTGTGTACAACACGTTGATACGCAGACGGGCCAGCAGACCGCTATTCACACAACAAAGTTAGCATAAACAAGAGAATACAACAAAGATGCAGGATATGAAGTCCGACCACAACACTTACTCTCCACTTTGACGCGGTCGGATGCAACCATCAGAGCCACAAACAGACGAATCAGAATCGGAAGGGTGCAAATCGTCTTGAAACGAGAACATCGCATGGGTGGCATCAAACTTGAGAACAAGGCCATATCCCACGACTTGGCGCATGGAGTTAAGCAGACTGGGCAGTGTCGCAGCAATGCGATCCCCCAGGCGGTCGAAGTTCGAGTTAATGATCGTGAAGACACACTTCATGCTAGAGGTACATGCTTTCACAAGAATGCGATCGTTGTGACCCTTCGCGAGACTAAGGGCCTGTTGCCGAAAGTTCTCCACCACCACCCGCAATAACGACGAAAAGTAGTGGTACACCTCGGGTGTCTTACCCGCCTGCGTACAAATGTTCGACACACAACTCGTGGCGGCATACCGAGCTTCAATGTCCACGCCCGACGGATCCAAGTGCTTCAGCAAGACAGCAAACAACAGCTCGAACTCATTGCTTGCTCGATCAGCATTCTCATGCAGCACTTGGCCCAGCGCGCGGATCGAATTGGCCGTATACCAGCTCGGACACGTCTTGATGAACGTCAAAAAGAACGTCATCACCACACGCAGCTGTGCGCTCGAGAACAGCACGCGTTCCTTACAACAGCACTTTTGCACGAGCCGCGTGTACTCCGAGCACAGCAGCCCCGAACTCAAGGGCAACAGCTGCGCCAAGGCTGTAATCAGCAATGCAATCTCCTGCCCATATGAACACCACAACAACAGCCACAACCACACACAGAGCAGCAAAAAAAAACACCAATTAGCCACATTCGATCTTCCCAAAAATGGCCCACTCTTCAGTACATACGTCGCTTCGAATACGAGGATTCGGCAGCGCCACGCCCAGCAGCTGCTTCAGCATCTCCTCCAGCTCCACGAGCGTCAGCTGCTGCACTGCCACATCAGCTTCCACGCGCTCGACGATCGTCGTCCAGAGCTTGCGGTCTCGCCGCTGCATGCCAACGTTCCAGCCACCAACAGGCGACGGCGACGTGCCGGTAGCGCTCGTACTCGTGCTCGTCCAGCCGCTGCTGGAGCCAGTGCTTGAGCCGGTGGCGCACGTGACGGGACGCATGCAACTTGTTGGATCGTCTTCGGGTCCGGGTCTCTCGAGCTCTTTTCTGCTAGCCAAACGAAAAGTGACGTCGGAGTTGTGAGTCAGTCGCTCGGTCTTCAACGGCGAGAACACGACGAGCAATAGGGGCGGCGCGCGCGCTTAAACTTTGTGGAACTTGACGCGCACGGGCACGGGGAGGAGCGAATGCGCCGCGTCCCGGACGTCTCCGCCGCGTCTCGGACGGCCAGCGCCTACGCGCATGGGACAACTGACCGACGTCGCGTTTGATTGGATGATAATACGACCTCGCGTTCCTAAGAAAAAGAGTGATGGTCACTTTGTTGACTCATGGCTTCCCGAACCGCGACAAGGGCGCAGAAGGACGACGTTGGAGCGCAAGACGCTGCAGCAAAGCGCTGGAAGGAGCACCCAGTGTCTGGCACGACCCACACGCGTCTGTTGCCGCCCTCTGCGAATTGGTACTGCTCAAAGGTCCGTCGTGATGTCGTGCGGTCGAATTGAATGCAATTAATTGCGAGTGTCTTGTCGATATTGGGATGAACTTCTTGTTCTCGTCATGATAATTGCTACTGTTATTATTCTAAGTGTCAGTATAATTTTCATTGGGGTTGACTGTCTATCTATCTGTAGATCTGTGACTGGAGCGACAGCGACGTCTTTGGGCTGCTGTTCGCTTTTGGAGCAAAGAACAGTCTCTTCCTTTACCGCGTCGAAAGCAGCACACGGACTGATGGGTCTGCAGTTGAAGGATCAGGAGTGCAAGTCTCGTTCTTTGCGCACTTAGTGCGTGGGAAACGCGACCGTCGCGTGACGTCGGTGCAGTTTCTGATGGACACGACGGAGGAGCTGCGTTTGGTGTGCGGCGGAGAAGAAGGCAGCGTGCAGATTTGGTAGGTCAACGCTGGAAAAACAGAGGAGAGGAAATGTATGTGGCAAAAAAATGACTATTGATGGATGTGTTGCAGGGACGTGGCGTCGTTGACGTTGATTGAGCAACATCGGAAACACAAGGCGGAAGTGATGGCGATCGCCTCGTCTGCTGCGTTGGACGCCAACTTTGTCGTGGCAGGAGATCGGCAGGGACGGATTAGTGCGTGGAAACGGGATGTGTACGTAGAAATTTATGGTGTTTTATGAGCGAGTGATTGAATTGTGCGACTGGCCAACGAGATTTACCGATGGTGCAATCGTGAACTGGTTGTTGTTATGACGCCTTCAGCGGAAAAGTGTCGATGTTCATGCCAATCTCAGGCGACGCGGTTCACTCGATGGCTATGTCGCCGCATGACAAATCATTAGTTGCTGTGGGGTATCGCAGTGGCAGGCTATGCCTTGTGGACGTGGATAAAGGTATCGTTCGTCACCACCTTGCTGGTCACGACCAAGAAGTTCAATGCGTTGCATGGAAGCCGACAGTTGGGATTCGTCACGTTATAGAAGAAGAAAAGAAGGTTACTGATGGTGTACTCTCTTCGTATGAACAAGAAGTGTGGCTGGCTTCTTCATCTCGGGACAAAACGATTAAGGTGTGGAAAGTGTTTCTAAGTGCTGCGGAAGAACCGGGGTTAGATCAGGTGCTTCGGCTTCCAACAGGAAAACAGGGTATGTCATTTTCCCAGACCAAGCAGATCTGGTTGCCAATAGCCTGGAGTTTAAGCTGTCCTCAGAATCCAGCAGTCAAGCATAAGCTGTGGTCAGGGTCTTTCGACGGCAGTTTGTTTTGTTGGGAATGGAATGCATCTGAGACAAACACTCAGGAAAAGAAAGGAAATAGTCGCTGGACACCGTGCAAACCTGTCGTAGTCAAAGGCGGTCATAGTCGAATGCTTTTCAGTATTGAGATGGTAGCTCCTCTGTATAGTGCATTGGGACAAAGCAGACCGGTGTTCATGCTCACGGTTTCGCTCGACAGGGAATTGCGACTGTGGAATGAAAATGCGTGCTTGGAATCTCCGGCAGCAGCAACATGTGTTGAGAGGATGACCGGATTAGGTGGTCATGCTTACAGCGTCTCGTATAATGCAGCAACCGGTATTGTAGCCGCAGGTGTTGGGGATCAGACCATTCGGCTTTGGAATGTAGGTACTGAGTCTGCATCGTCATCGAGTGGCTATGAGTGCGATTTGTTGTGGAAAGGGTTGCAGAGTAAAATTACCCGCGTTCAATGGCATCCGTTCCAGCAGTCGTTATTAGCTTACGGCATGGACGACGGGCGCATTGGGATCTACAACGTCCAGGCCAAAACATACAGCTATTTCCGCACAAAGCACGATCATGAGGTGATACAGCTTCAATGGATTATTCAAAAGCCGAAAAAGACTGGTGCTGTAAACGATGTAGAGAGCGTTTTCCTCGCAAGTATCCGACAGCTGGAAGCTGCGCAGGTTGAAGGCCAGAGCCTTGAAGAGGCACTGACCATTCAAGAAGACCAGTCGGGGAAGCTGCTTGATGGGGATGAATCAAAGATTACGCTGTGGAGCTGCGATATTCGTGGTGCTATCCTGGAATCAGACGTCGACAATGTTGGCCGAAAGTCCCGGGAGGTTGCCCTGAATAGCACTGCATTCGATTGGGACGAGCAGTTTGGGCAGGTCGCTATCGGTCAAGCTGATGGTGTTGTGAAGGTGATGGATTGCAATGACATTGCGAACGGTAAAGGCATCGCGACACGTTGCTTTCACGAGCATTTGGAGCCTGTAACGTGTCTATCGTGGGGTAACGGTCTTGGCGGGGCCTTATTAGCCTCTGGAGACCAAGACGGCAAAATATTTATCTACAGCTGTCAAAGATCTTCTGTCTCGCAAGTAAGCGCTACAGCCGTTGCTAACTCAGACGAATATGTGCATGAAGCTAGTCTTCTTGGAACCCTCACAGGTCACTTGAACAAAATCTCCAATTTAAGGTGGTGTGTCAACGAAGGTCAGTCTTTTTTAGCCTCAAGTTCGGCTGATGGAACCGTGCAGGTATGGAATCCAGTGTCCCTACAAAGACGGGCAGTTTTTAGCCACCATGTCGGCCGTGTCCTATCTCTAGAATGGGTATCACCTTACATGCTTATTACAGGCGGCGAGGACCAAACGTTGCGTATTTGGGATTATCGAGACCAACCTAAAGACACGTTGCCCAAACTGAGAAAGCATGACAAGGTAAGGCAGCCTCAAGAGGTGGAAGCATTGCCATGCTCACCATTCGCAGACCGAGCAGCCGTGGAGGCCTGTAGAGCCGATACGGCTGGTCACAAAATGTCGCAACAACCGTATTTGACGGACAAGTGTAACTCGCAGGGTCTGGCTGACGTGCCGACTAGGAAGATGACAACGGGGGTTTTCCATTCGGAAAAGAAGCTCACTTCAGCCGAAATCGCTTTGGCTTGTCGCATTGTGAGCGGGGTGAAACAGGGTGAGTCTTGCAGACGTGTTACGGATGGCACGGATACACCAACAAACACGTTTCTCGCTCATACGAATCGCGTGGCGCTACGGTGTTTTTTCGATTCGGAAACTGCCCGTTTTCGTGAAGAACAGGAGTGGGAAAGTCTTGCCAACACTTTGCTGTTACAGGGCAGAGTCGCCGACGCCCTACGAATTGTAGCGAAGGCAAACGCTTTGACACCAACTTGGCTTTCGTACGCTCCAGCAGCTGGCATGGATGTATGGCGAGAGATGACGTCCGTGTACGCCCACGAACTCGCAGTCCAGGGCGATAGGAAAGCGGCAGGTTCGTAACTCGCATTCTGCTGATATTGCCCTCACTGTCCGACGCTGATATCCTTGTATTTTGTCGCGCAGCGTTTCACTTCCTTAGTATTGCAAAAGTTCGTTCTGCTGTCGCTTGTTTGGTAAGTGGTGACGCTTATGAGGAGGCTCTAGCGCTTATTCGATCGAAATTGGGACCCGGTGATCCCCTCCTCCACGACACCTTGTGGAAATACGCTGACTTTCTCACCAAGCGCGGTCGTCATGGGAAAGCAGCACTGGCACTTTTAAATATTGGCTCCATCAAGGCAAAGTCGAGGGCAGCTCGTACGCTCGTGAATTCAGGTGACATGACCTGTATTGGTGCTGCCCTCGATGTGCTTCTAGGTGCGGTGGAATGTCAAACGGAATCCGGCGGACTGTGTGATACAGACCGTGAAAACGATGTCACGCACTTTGCGTTCCCAGGGAGCTTTTTTATCTCAATCGCCGGCCAAGCTCTTGTGGAATCTCGGTTTGACATTGCGGAAACTGCAGGACAGCTGCTTCAATCTTCGCTAGTGGGAGGCTTGTCACCAGCATCACATCGGTTAACAGCGTGCCTGCTTGGTATCGTAAGAATCATGCATCAGCATAGGCTAGCTTATTATGTACCCGCCGAAGCGGATGAGACAGCTACGGGTCACCTGACTGACGACCTGCTTCAGTTTGATGCGCCACAATGTGTTCGCGAATTTTTTGGGTTCTTGACAAGGTCACGTGCAGACATCACGGATGATGAAGATCGTCTGTCTGATCAGTTGATAAACGCACACACTTTTCCAGAGCTCCTAAAAGGGACGCGAACGAGGCATTGGTTTGCAAACCGGGCTGACCATTTCTGGCTGCAAATACTGAGTGTTTGTCGGAAGTGTGGATACTGGTTCGATGTCGGTGGGAAAAGTCGTGTTCAGGAAGCTCAGGAAGTTCTAATTGAAGCGAGCTGCTTTAGTGAGATCGAAACAGCTGTGGCAAAACTTGCGCGTAAACCGGGAGATGACATGAATGTGTGGTCGCTACCACTTTGTCAGAAATTGTTACGGTTCGTGGTCGAGGCAATCAGTACAAGTTTCATCGGTGCTTTGGAGCATATGCGAGAGATGTTCTCGTTTTTGACACAAGGCGAGATAGCAACGCCTTCAAGCAACGCATCGTCAGCTTCTCAAGGATGTCAAGATTACTTCACTGGCGGTGTGCGCCTCGATGTGATGACACTGCTGTATCCACGCGGTCTTGTGTCTCCAAAAGACCTACCACAGTGTGGTGAAATTGTGGAGGGGCAGCTGGATGCACTCATTATATTGAGCTCAGTTTTTCTGTCGCGATGCAGACTGCTTTTGCAAGCAACACCACTTCTTGATAACGTCACAGCCATTGATGAAAAAAACGTGGGTTCTCTAGTTCCACCGGTATTGCATCAACTTCGCGTGTGGTTCTTACATGACGAAGCAACGGCACCACTTGGTCGACATGTGCTGGATGCTGAGACTCGGTTGCAGTTACAAGCGCTACTCGATGAAGTGTTCGTGGCAGTATGTGGACATACTAGTAGCCGAGAGAAAGACAAAGGCTGCTGTGCTGATGAGCAGCAAGCCGGACTCAATCAAGGTGATGCGTGTCTATTGAGAAAGCAGACTTTGCTCGATGACATCGATGACATCAAACAGCGTCTTACATCGAACGAAGATAGTGGCGAACAGTGATCGGAACTCAACACAGTCATTCCGAATCAATTGCTCGCTAGTCAAAACGCTGCGCTTGCGCATTCGTCGATGAATTCCAGTTCTCGTCTTCGGTATCTGGCCCCGCTTTGCTGGACTCGGTTGTGTCTGCGTGAAGTATCATAAAATTGGACCAAACGCATCATTCTATCGTGCGCTCGTATTTGAGCTTGTCGATATCCTACCGTGCGTGATCTACATGATAGTCGAAGGTCTCTCTGGCATTTTTATTGCTTTCTCTGCAGCGCTGGGTTCCAGTTTTCTCGCTTGTGGCAGTGCATCGTTCTATCCGAATGCTGATTGTTTTTGTAGCTGCAAGGGTCTCGCTTCTTCGCGCCGTGCGTGTGAACCTCCTTATGTGGAATGCATAGGACGATTTCGCGTTTGACCTGGACAAACTTGTGCTCGCCAATCCTCTGATGACAATTTTTAGCATGTCCAGTACCTTTTGTTGTCTTGTTGGAATTTCCAGAAAAAGCTCAGTAGCTCTACATCCGAGTTGCTCACTGTTCTTTCAACCTCCTCTACGGTGCACCGGTACCTATGTTTGTGAGAGATTATCCACGCACCTGAAAATGCTACACGTCCATAATTCATCTTCACTCTTCAACACTCCAACTTGTGAACGGACACGGAAGTATATTTCAAATGCAAGCAAGCCCAGTAAGCTCAGAGCTGGTTCCGCGGGATCGCGCTGCACACCAGCCCTAAGTCTCATCACCTCCATCTCTGACCTGCATCACCAAATCGCCGACAATCACACTGCGCCTCGCCACTAGCTTGCATTCGTGAAGGATTCGTCCCCCATACCACCATCGACACTTCCAGCGTCGATACTAGCTGCGTATTTACTGGCAAGCTCCAGGTCAGCCTTCAGCTGCTCCATACCCGAGGAAAGCAGCTTCCACAGATCTGGCGCTGGGCCTTGTTCTCCCGCTGCCAACTCGTCATCTTCTGGAAGATCCGTGTACTGCGACAACTGCTGCGTTAGACGACAAGCACGCGCCGACAGCACATTGTTTTCGGCCTGCAGCTCAGCAAGCTTCACGCGGAACTCATCGAGCGCGTTGGTCTCCTCAAAGCGCGTCCGGGCCAAGTGCGCCAACTCGTCTCGAAGCAATTCATTTTCGTGCGCGATACGGTCAATCTCGTCACGCGCTTCCTGCTCCACGTGGCGGGTGAACTCCCGTACACGGCTGATCTTGTCCTCGCTGTCACGGGACAGCTCGTCGCAGTATGCCTTGGATTTCTGCAACAAGTCATTCAAGTCCCGGTTCGTCTCCTCCAGTCTCCGGTGCATGTGCTTGTGCTCATCCAGCTGCTCACGCAAATGTGCTATTTCTTCGTTGGAACCGCGCAACTGGTCAATTTTCGCTTCTAACGACGCTTTTTCTTGCGTAGTCGCATGCAATTGCGCGCGCACCTGCTCCAGATCATACCGAGAGCGGTCTACCATCGTCTTTACCTCACTATGAGCTTGACGAAGGTGCTCACATTCAGCATTGAGCTGTGCTAACCTCTGCTCGGAACTCTGCCTGTCTGCTTTAAAGCGACTGACAAGATCCTCGAGTTGCGCCATGTCCTTCTGTGAACCAAGCGTGAAGTCGTTTCAGTCGCTCATGGAACGTTTTCTGGATTGCAAGATGTACGCGTCCAGACACATGCTTATCAGTGCACAAGTCCATGAGACAGACGCACAAGCCCATGTACAAGGACCGGAAGACAGCCAAGCGTACTGTGAGATACTTGAAGTTGTCGAAAGGACAAACTAATGCAAATTAAACAGCGTTGGACCAACAGCGGAGGTAGTGCAAAAACAAGTGTTGATCAATGCTGATTTACGCGCTGCCAATTAGGCAAACCCTACGTCCTTGTCGGGGTGTGTACTAACTATGGATGGTGCTTCTGTTCTATGGTTGTGCAAGATGCGATCAAGGCTGTCGCTAAGATGAGATTATCTCAGCGCGTCGCAGACTGGACGAGATCTACTAGACACGAAAGAGTTGATGTAATGACTTCAGTTGCGTGTGCACATGCCTATGCCGATGTGGAATGACAATCGAGTAGCTATCAAGCAGCTTGAGTCGAAAAAGAGTACGTCAAGCGCCAATCTTGCGGATATAAGTTTCAAATATATCTGCCGAAATGCACAAGCAGGCATTGTGGTGCCGATATTCGAAGTCAAGTCACGGGGCATGATGGCGGACAAAAACTCACGAAAGCGCTGCCGGTACCAAGAATGGAAGAGCTGCGAACGATGTTCAGGTTGGATTCCAGCTTAGGCTTACACCGAGGGAAGAGTGATAGAGACAAACAAGCTCGGCAGGGATCAAGTTTCATGGGATATACCAAGTGACGGGCTAACCTGATTGGATGGTGGTCAGACCAGGTGACATGTAAAGACCAAGAGGAGACGATCAAACAGGTGGAGCAGGGGGAGACATGGGGGTGATGAGTTGAAAGATAGGAAAGCGAGCCGACAACACGACGGTTAGGGCAAGACAATGCATTTGAAATGTGTGACTGACGTACGAGAAATGTAGGAATGACGGATACCATCAGGCATGTACATGGTCAAGTTGCAGTGCAGTTACGGTGCATGTTGTAGTGCAGATAAGGAGATGTTTAGTGCTAAAAATATTTTACTTTTACTTCTAACTGCCTTTGAACAAGTGCAAACCCAAGCTTCTTAAACTTACGTTCTTTTCTTTTTTACCTTTACTGCGTACTCTTACTCCATATAGCAACCTTTCTCAGCACGCACGTGCACGTAGAGGCATACAGACACACTCACACTTGAACTGTCAGCACTGCAAGGTTTATTCAGTTAGCTGAAATTAATTTACGCGTCACAAGCACCTCTTCATTTGGACACGAGTGTGAAGTCGCTTTCATGGATACTGCAAAATTGTCAAGCACGGGTGTACATTTTCTACTTGGAGCAAATCTGGTTTGGTGTGAGATAGCACGCGAATCCAATCAAAAACATGACATGTGTAAAAATAATAAGCGTAATCATCTTGTAGTTAGTACTCAGGAAAGAAAGGAGAGTAGGCGAGTTGGTTATTGCATTCCTGCTTTCGTCAAGCGTAAACTGTATGCTTGCGAGAATGCTGCAGGATAGTCCTGTTCTATACACCACAATTCTTTTAGTCTAGTCAGAAGGGCACGAGAACCTCCGCATACCGACGGTATGAATCGTAGCCGAGTCTATACGGTCCACATGCCGTAGTTCTCCTTTGTAAACCTTTCAAATGTGACGATGCGGCCCATTGAAAAATGTGGAATCGTCTAAGAGGGAGACATAGTCAGAAAGACAATACTGCTTACCTCTCTACATTAGATGACTCATTACGTGACAGAGGCGTCCCTTAAAAAAAAACCAGTCCAGTCGTCAGTCAATTTGTCAGTTTTAATGCATATTACGTGACGTGAGTCCATGGACCGGCTGCAATGTAGGGGTCATTTATCCGCAAATGTACATGGAATCCGCTGTAAGAACTGTTTGTCGTCTGGGTATCCCACCACTTGTGAGACCACGAGTGTAACGGGGCACCCCCTTTGTTTTGGGGTGCCCGAAACTTCCCGTTTACTGGTACGTGCAGAGGAAGGTAATCAACGTATACAGCAAGATTGAGTAAAAGGTAAAAAGTGAACTGTAATTAAGAAAGTTAAGCAATCAAAATAACTTCAGTCACTATCTAGCTATATTATACTACGTCGTCGTATGACGACAACCTGCTCACCACTCATTGTGCGCGTCTAGCAGCAATTGGTGGTAACCTTGGCTGATATTACGTCTTTAGCAACTAATCTTTGAGCTGCACATGAATATTACCCTCCAAAGGGGATAATGTTCTTTCGAAATTATTCATCTCAGATAGTATTGGCAGGGAATTGTCACGCTAAGACAATCTCCCCCTATTGACACCGTTTGGTGCCAATATCATGTAACAGATAACCCCGTTACATCACCCCTCTCCCTCCTTAACCATCAATCACCCGTTGATTGAATTTAACTGATTGGGACAGGGTAACCACCGTGGGATCACTCTGGAAAGGGGAGCAACAGTTGGTCAAATTCCAACTCATTTTGCCAGTTCATCGCATGGTGTCAAAGTCCATGCGATGTGCTGCCGAAGCAGCAAGAAAAGCGATTGCACGCATGCTTGCAGCCGAAGAGAATTCTTCTTTTGCTTCAGCAGCAGGTGGTCCTTCGTCCGCTGTCGCTATTCAGCAACAGGCGGTTCCTGTTGCGAACAGTCCACGTGGTGAGTCATCACGTGCGACAGGTACATCTGCTGCGTCTGCAGCGGGTACCTCGAATCTTAATCAAGACGAGTCTGTGATAGAGCTTATCAATTCCGGCGAGTCGGATGATGCATCCGTCTCGAAGGCGACACCTCACGCCCTCCGGATCATCTGGGGGGGTGGACCGCACAAGGAGCCAGATTGTCTGTCCCTGGGGAACGTGGCGGCATCATGTCCAGGATCTCCGGACCGAGCGATTCAACCGACGAATCCTCGTCTCACGCGAATCCTCGTCTCACGCGAATCCAGCTGACGATAAAAAGCGTGGGGACGGTGGTGATGCACCTGTACATCACCACTAGCGAAGTAATTCGGAGAGATCGGGCTGCCACTGGTGTCATTGCTCATGCTGACATCCCTCAAGAGGCCAGGGACCAAAATGTCCTGCGCCATTGTCCTCAAGTGAAGTCTCCTTGGGAACCGTCATCCAAAAAGTTGGACCGGTTGGCCGTCAAATTCCGTTGTTCAGCTGTAGGAGGATCTGTCCTCCTAATTCCAGCACGGAAACTATCCGCGATCAGGAAGATTTCTTCACAGATTAGTTCTTCAAATATCGGTGGTACAATGACAATCGTGATCGAGACAGCAAGGCCTTGGTGCAAGGATGGACCGCCCTTATGCACAACATCGAGTGCATTAGCCGTGAGACCTGGCTCGGTAAACTCGGTGCAGCTCGAATCAGGTATGAGAAGCTTAACCCAGTCTATATGCAACACAAGTTGCACCGCCTGTCAAGTGAGGCAGGATTGTCCTGTCTTTCGTGGGGTGGTTCGTGTCCAGGTTGCCTGGACAGCTCGAATCGCGCCCCTAGGGAGGCTTGCCTCCCTAATGATCCCTACTGGAGGGCGCGCATCTCTTCTGAGATGGCCGAAGGGAATGACACTTTGCAATCCCTATACTCGCGTTCGGGGAGTTCATTTTCAGACGGCCCATCTTCCGAACATAGCGGGTTGGTCTCGTTACAATGCTCGACGCGACCAATTATATCAACGATCAGCTGGGCACGAGGCTCCCAGCTGTCCTTGGCCGGTGGATAGCCACGCCAGCGGACGAGGTCACTCGTCCGGACGCCATTTATGTCGCGGTGGTTCAAAATACAAACCACCAGAGAAGCGTTGACCACCACCAAAATCCATTATTACATGTCATGGTGACGGAAACACCTGATCAGGCTCAAGGGTCAAATCAGCTTGATGTTCAAGAGCTGAACCGTGTAACCAGTTAGTCGCACGACGACCTGGATCATGAACAGACTCGGCGTTATGAGCTCCAAGACTTTGTAAAGAATTATTACAATTCCTCTGCGCTTGATCGTTTGAACGATCATGCCGCGTTTGCGCTCACGCAACTTGAGAACAAACGCTTGACTCGTTCTCTTCGTGATGAGCTGGCTGTAGCTCGTCGAGACATCGCTGAGCTGCTTGAACAGGTCGCTTCAGCTAGTCAACCAGACTGGCTCGTTGGAAACGGGACCACTCGAAGGTGACTCGGCTCTCGACCGTAGAGGTGTTCTTCGCATCTCAAAACGGGATCGTGCTGATAGTACGGGTGGAGAAGTCCAACTTAAAGCGTAGGATGCGTACGCATCTTACGGGGCAGTTCAATAGTGTATGCGTTGCCCATATGGCGCAACACACGGAAATGGACCGATATTCTTTGGCAGTAGTTTGCTGCTGCCCACATTGGTCACTGCGTGTTTCGGTATATATTCTGTTAACAGTAAAACTGAGTCTCCTTCATTAAATGAAAGAACATTTGCTCTTCCGTTTTTTTCTGCGTTTCTTTTCTGCTTGTCTAGTGCATCTTCAATAGAGTCTTGAGCGAAGAAAACGACGGCTTCACGAGTCAGCAGAATTTCCTCTGCTTATTCATCCTTGCTAACAGCAGTGCGCTTCGTGTGCAATGCTGAAAAACGTTGTCTTCACCAGTGAGGGTGTCATCGTCCTCAATGTAGCAGTCATTAACGATGCTGAATTTACCAGCATCATCGTCATCATCGTCATCAGTGTTGATGTCATCGACATCGGCATCCATCACGTCAATACTATTGACGGGTGATGAGCAGAACCGTAGATCAATCTGTGTTCGAGAGCGAGTCCCCCCCTTAAACTAGAGTCACACTCTAAGAAGACGGTGGCTTAATGGATAGCTAGGCTATTCACGAATAACGGTGCACAAAGCGTTGTCGATGCATGTACCTGGTTGTTGATGGCGAATTCCGCCATCGGTATGGACTCACTAAAACTTGTAAACGAGTGGAAACACACTCGAAGTATCTCTTCGAGGACGCGGTGGATGCATTCCGTCTGATCATCTGCTCACGGGATGGTCAGTTTAGACATCTTTGAACATGTTTTAAGTGAACGGGACACCGATTCCTAGAACTCCGCTGTGAAGCGGATCTTATCAGAAACAAATTTACAGGATAACCCGTGAAGTCAGGAAGATAGCATCAATGAAGACACTCGCAAACCCCTGGGCTGTGATTGACCCCGGTACAGCTAACAAGATGTACCATCTTGCTGAAGCGATCAAACAAGACACAAGAATACCAGTATTCTTTGTGAACGTCTTTAGAAATCCGAAGACGAAGTCCATCGATACGGACTGCCAGCACTCTGCCGGAATCGGAAGAGGCTGCAATGGTACGCAGGATGAAGGACTAGGCTTCACCCGTTGACAAACATTACCAAGCGCGAATGTATTTGCGCACAAACTCATACTGTCGGGGCCAGTAGAAGCCACGACTCACCATGAGGTAAGCCATTTATCTACCGCAATGCCCACGTGTTAGGGCATCGTGACACTCATACATGATTTGCGTAATCGCAAATTATCATGAGCGGGAACGACGACACGAGGTGTGTCTCCGTTGATTGCTGTACAGTACAGAAGTCCATCACGAACCGAATACCGTTCGGTTGAAGAGTGGTATTGAGACGACAAGCTTTTCAAAGCTTGACTGCATGGATTAGACACGTTGTCCATCAACCCCAGAAGAGGCTCATCTTCCTCGTAAGCTTTTCGCACGTCGTCGAGCAGGTTGGACGACGAAACACTCACTGATAGTGCAGCAACAGTGGGATCACCCCCCTACCGTTAGTTGGGCAGTCGGCTCGAAATCGGGGCCGACGTGAAAGAGCTTCAGCGACGACATTGAGTCGTCCTGGTTTATAGTCGACCTCCGGAGAAGTTTTACTCCGCAAAGAAAGCCAGCCACCTCGACATTCGTTGCGAGATGTGTGGACTGTTTATGGCCGTTCGTAATGACGCATGGTCGGTATAAACGATGAAGGGCCTATCTCCTAAGAGATATATCCGGAACTTGGCCAGTGTAAATTTCATGGCAAGGAGTTCCTTGTCATGCATAGGGTAATTATGCTCAGCTGCTTACAGGTGACGCGATTGATAACAGACGACGTGCTTAACGCCGTCTGCGTCGTACTGCATTAACGCACAGCCGATCGCAAAATCGCTGGCGTAAAAAAGACCACATGAAATGGTCTGTCCTGGTCCGCAATCGCCAACACTGGCGATTGTAATAAGCTTTTCTTGATTCCTTCAAAGGAGAGCTGACACTAAGCCCTTATGACCACCTCTTATTTTTTCTTTAACAGACGAGTATAGTATTGTACAGTCATCTAGGCGTAGTTGCGCGAGTACTTATGCAAGCATGCGCTGCCGGGCTGGTGAACTTGGGGAGTCCCTTCGATGTCGATTGGTACAGGCCAGTCGCTAATCGCCTCTTCGATTTTTCCGTAACAGCGGCGCATCACGCCGTTTTCATTCGCGATACATCCAAGAAGTGGTATTTCGCTCGCTGCGAAGATGCACTTCGTGAGGTTCGCGAACGATCGACTTGTGATCTCGAATAAGTGTAAGAAACTTCCGGACGTGGATTGTATGAACCTCCACGTCCATCTTTCCATCCACAGCCAGGCTATGGACGAAGATTTCGTCAAAGTAACTAAATACAAAATCCCGCACCGATCGCAACCGATTCGTAACGCATTCGTTGAACGCTGCAGGGGCGTTACTTAGCCCTTGTGGCATCACTAGCCACTTCCAGAGCATACGAATTGGGTGCTCACTGCTGTGTACAGGATGTCCCGTTCACGCATGAGGATCTGATAGAATCCATCCATCAGAACCATGGACGAAAAGATGGTACTCTTTGACATACCATCAATAATTACGTCCTTCCTTGGTATCGGCGTCTGAAAACACGTTGTCGGAGTTCAACCTGTTGAACGCGTGCACTATCCGCCACCCTCCTGTGATCTTTCGCCAGCAGAAGGTCGGAGAGTTGTGTGGGAGTCATGTTAGAAGATCCCTCACATGACCAGCCGCATTGTGGTGGAGTGGCGATCACTCATTTTATGAGTCGATCCCAACTCTCCACTGGCGCCTAGACGAACGACTTACGGAGGGGGTACTCCGATTCCGTGTGTGTTACCTTCCTTACCTTGTGTACCCGTCGGTAGGGCGGGTTGCACTTTTCCAGGTGTACTTGTTTCGAAGTAAAACTTGACCGTGTTGGAGATGGGGTTGTGATTGTGCGGAAATCTTCACAAGATCACGGGTTACCCTGGGGTACTGATATAAGTTACCCTGATCTCAACGAGATCGCCTCGGCCACTATGTGGTTGCTTGATTCGGGAGCCTTCTGACCACTTGAGCCGTATCGCGATCTTGCGCCTTGCCTTTACGTGTCTTGCTGCGTCCGATCGCAGTTGATGTTGCTTGAGAGTTCTTGAACACACCTGGCCAAAACAATCCAGGTGTGACACTTGCGTAGACGTATAGCGCGACTCTTTATTCGACGGGGGCCAAAGATCCTACCCGGAAGAGATAACGTATGACTTGTGAAGTAAATTGAACTCTGTTTAATATCAACCGACCAACCTAAACCCTACCCCTATGCCTATCCGTAGATCCTAACCAGATACCATGTGCTACCTTTCCAGGAAGATCGTCCCCTCGCATTTGTGTGGTCCACACCAAGTATATCAGCAGTTATATCTTCTTGTAGCCTACCCAAGATATCCCCATGATCCTACTAGCGGATCGCAGCTGATATCGGACTTGCGATCCTGGGTTAGAATCGTGATCCTACTTTCGGATCGTGATCCTACTAGCGGATCGCAGCTGATATCAAACTTGCGATCCTGGGTAAGGATCGTGATCCTACTAGCGGACCGTGATCCTACTAGCGGACCGTGATCCCACTACCAGATCGTGATCCTACTAGCGGATCGTGGTCCTACTAGCGGATCGTGATCCTACTAGCGGATCATAGCTGATATCGGACTTGCGATCCTGGGTTAGGATAGCGGTCTTCCAGTGAGATCGAGGGTCTTGTCTTGTCATGTCTCACAACAGATTGCGTAATCAAAATGAGCATGACCACCCTATAACCTCGTCCCAGGCTGGACGATCCTGCTCACTTGGGATTTGGGTAAGCTATTGCCAGCCACCCGTCCCAGTCGGTATCCACCAATCAGAGCGTTCTTTGATTAGCTAAAGCGTGCGACCCGTGCGATTGCTGATCCAAGTCTCCAGATGAAATTCCCTTGTGAACTCTTTACCACAAAAGACTCCTAAGATTGAGACGTGTATCGCTCAATCCGGGTTCATCCGTGGAGGACACTCTCGTCTATCGATGAGCTACTGAGAACCCGTTCGTTCTCAGAAAACACTTGTGCCGATCGAATATCGGCGACGTACTCGTACTCTGTGACGAGTGCGCATATCTGCTTAATCTTGTCACTACGCAGATCTTTCAAGACTATTTTAGATTATAGCGTTAACAACTTGATTACCTCCGAAGCTGACTTCGGGGTTGTAACCAGATCAAGTGTACAAGTGCCTACACTTGATCCGTTATTCACCAAGACATTCACTGTCTCGGTGATTTCCTGGGAAAGCGCATCCGCACGTTGTTCGGGATCTATACCCTCAACATAACTCTTTCGGAAGTTATCACTCTCAGGAACGCTGGAGCTTTTTTCCAATACGTGTGCTGAATGTGGGTATACTGCCACAGTCACGTCCTCTTCGATCGACTCTCTTTTAGTCGATCGGGCTTGCTCTACGATCGACTCTCTGTTAGTCGATCTTGCTTCAATGTGTTGTTTATCCTGAACAACGCTCATCTCTCTTCTTGGATGCACCCTTCTTGGTATACATCCGTGTTCCAGTCCACTCGATCTCTTCGAGTGGTGGACCTTCGGCGCAGCCTGTGTCTTTACACAGGTGCCCGAAGCTGGTTCCACAGTGTAGTGGCATTCTACACTGTGATCTTGAGCAGTCGTACTAACAACCGTACCACAGGTGAGGCCATCGCACTCGCTAAGTAGTACACCCACACGCTTGTGTGCGCTCCAAGACGTTCATCAGATGGTCATCTCATGAACAAGCGGCAGGCATCTTCACGGATCGACGCTGCCAGCTGATCCATGTCTCGCATCTTCTGAGCCATGGCAGATCGAGAATGACATCAATTTGTCATCCTAATACACTTCGATGAAGTCATCATCGTCCTGATATCCTTCTAGCGTGTAGTGGATTCTCACGACTCATTGTTGACTGTCACGGCTGCGCCAGTAGCAAGGCACACCGCCATCCTCGTTGGAGGGGAACTCTCGCTCAACATAGTTGAGCCTGCTATCTTCCAGTGACTGGAGTCGAACAAAACTGTTCGACTCCACACAGTCCACTAGGGCGCAAAGTGACATTCCACTTGTCACTTCGATCGTCAAAGTGATGAGCGACACATCATCACCAGGGGCAGTAACACACAGCGACTGTGTGTTAGGAGAAATCTTCGTCAAGAGTCCTGCGAATTATCTTGACGTTGCTTTATCAGCAGGGTGCTCCGCCCCTACTGACCCTGACCGTTTTTGGCTGTCCGACTTGCTGTCGCGGTTCAGCGACATGGTCGGACCCGCGCCTTGGAACATTCTGAAACCAACGGCGGTCATCACGTCATGTCTTTGGACGTGATGTGGTGCTTGGGACACTACACTCGTGTGCGTAGTCTCCGATCTTATGACAGTGATGGCATCTTGCCGTTCGCTTGTGATTCAGGTAGCGAACGTTCTCGCTCTCGATGTAACGGAGGTATGTTATTTCGAGACGTCCCCTGTGCCGGAACTCGTCGGACGACCTGCAGTCTCGTCGGACGATAGTTGGACGAGTTAGCCTGAGACTATCTTAGGCTAAAGTCCTCTTGCTCAGCATACGCTATCGCCCTTTCCAGCGTATGGAAGTCCTCCCCGGAACATGTAGGTCTTCACCGGCCAATCCAAAAGGACGTTGATGAACACGTTGATGAGCGTGTGCTCATCAACAGGATTTTCAGTGACACTTCTCGGGAAGTTAGCGTAGGTGTTGCGCGTAAGCATGCACATCACTCTTGCCTTGCTTGAGCCTCAAGGAGTGCAGAGCGTGCCCTGAAATCGTCTCTTGGTGGATCAAATGTCTCTTTGCGACAAGACTTCAAGTTCTTCAACGACTCAAAGACGTATGGGTCGTGAAGTCTGATCCCTAACGCCCAAGTCTGTGCTCGTCCTGTCAAGTTTGACAGGGCGAAGGTGACTTGCATCTCGTCATTCTTGATGTGCCGGGCCCTGATGGCATCGTCCAACTCGACGAACTAACTCTGACGGGAATCTTCGTCGGTTCCCTTATACCTTGAGATATCTATCTTCAAGGTTTCGGGTCGACGCATGCGCGTCGGCCCGCCCGTCGACTGATGAGAGCCTTGCTGCTGTATCAATGCTATCTTCTGCCTTTTGACAGCAAGTTGACTTTGTAGGAACTTGTTGATAGCGGCAAGCTGTTGGTATCCGTCAAAAGAATCCAACATGCCACTAATAGCGGGTTCGCCCATAAGCGCACTCATGCGGCCGACTACCTCCCATTCTGAGTCACTCAGATGGGTGTAGCCTTCAAATGTGACGTGAAAGCTGTCGTCTTCTTCAGCATCCAACGTGATCATATTGGACGGTAACTGAGTAGTCGCTGGACGGACTACAAAGTGCTACCAGGTGTAACGGGCCACCCTTCGCTTGGGGTGCCACAAAACTTCACGTACACTAGTACGAGCAGAGGAAGATAAATTTACTTTAACGACTCGTTTAACTAAAGGTAAAAAGCGAATCGTATTCAACATAGCTAAGCTATTAATGTAACTAAAATCTTTATCTAACTTTATTAACCTACATTGTTTTATGACGACAAGCTGCTCACCACTCATTGCGCGCGTCTAGCAGCGATTGATGGTAACCTAGGTTGTATATATCTTTTATCAAACAATCTTCGAGCAGCACTTACACTTTACCTATAGGGGTGATATTCCCTTAATATAACCTATCTCGGGTAACGTTGGCAGGAAATTGTCACGTCAGACAATCTCTCTATCGACTCCGTTTGGTGTCAATATCATGTAACGGGCTACCCCGTTACCTAAATAGCAAGGTACTGGGCTCAAATTGCCGTTCGGGGTGATACATAGCGTTCAAGGAATCGATCATACGGTAACGTCTCTGCTTGTGGCACGTATGTACACGTTCTGAAGGGCTTTTTTTAACGAAGTAGCAAGGCAAAATAATTAATGCTTAACTTATTACAGCATGGTTTTTTTATAAGTATCTGAAAGGGGTCGAGAAATATCCTTGCGATAAAGAAAAGTATATATACCTTGTTGATAAAACTTCAATTTGTTAGTGTCAGTCTGGACGTGAGTGTAATGTCGAATTAAATAGCTGATTTGTTGATGGCGGATTTTCTAATTGTATGGACGAGCAGTGCCTCTACTTTCATTCCCGAATTAATCAATATGCAATTTTTTTTATATATGTGGACGAAATCTTTTGTTTCACCAACCATTAGGAACTTAACTACATCATATCTGATCAGCTGGAAAAAAATCACGGAATGAAGGACCAAGGCAGATTAAGTTTAAACGTGAGTGTTTAGGTGGAGCAAACTTATGGCACTATCAAGATCCACCCGTAAAGATACTGTAATAATTACTTGAAACACATCGATTTCTACATGTGTACCCGATCTCGGTACCAATGAAGACAAGCATGCGATTATCTGGGCAGATAAGTGATATGGACCGCCCACAAAGGTACCTGTAAGCGGCAAAAATCCCTTTATCTCGAGCACATTGATTATTTCATGTACTTCGCCACATGCAAAATCGATATGTGCACAATCTGACACAGCAACATACTGGTGCCGCGAAACGGGTGCTATGTTCAATGGTTGGCCTGACGAGCAAAACAATCATATGATGCTAGATGGTTACTGCAATTCGGATTGGGGCACCGGTCCAAACACCAGAAATTTTGTTACTAATTTCGTGCATTGTCTTGCATATGGGGCTTTTTTATGGGCTTCCCGTCGACAATTAATGGTAGTATAAACGACAGCGAAAGAAGAAATGTTGCGGCATGCGAGGCATGCATGGAAGGACTAGGTCTTAAAAATGTGTTGGTACAAGTCTTTTCCAACATTTAGATTTTAATGTTTAGGAATCGAGCAATTAGGTGCTTATATCATTAAAAAATCTGAATGATAGTAGAAAGACTCGGTTCATTAAACTCTGCTTGCACTTTGTAATGAGCAAGAGCAAAATAGTCTGTACACTCATATAATGTCGAGATTGAAGACAATCGGTGACGACGAAGCCGCTCACTCACGATATACTCAGGAAGATAAGTACAACGATCAGACTAACGTAACAATTAATTCGATATACGATATTGACACCAAACGGAGTCGATAGAGAGATTGTCTGACGTGACAATTTCCTGCCAACGTTACCCGAGATAGGTTATATTAAGGGAATATCACCCCTATAGGTAAAGTGTAAGTGCTGCTCGAAGATTGTTTGACAAAAGATATTTACCAACCTAGGTTACTATCAATCGCTGCTAGACGCGCGCAATGAGTGGTGAGCAGCTTGTCGTCATAAAACAATGTAGGTTAATAAAGTTAGATAAAGATTTTAGTTACATTAATAGCTTAGCTATTTTGAATACGATTCGCTTTTTACCTTTAGTTAAACGAGTCGTTAAAGTAAATTTATCTTCCTCTGCTCGTACTAGTGTACGTGAAGTTTTGTGGCACCCCAAGCGAAGGGTGGCCCGTTACACCTGGTAGCACTTTGTAGTCCGTCCAGCGACTACTCAGTTACCGTCCAATATGATCACGTTGGATGCTGAAGAAGACGACAGCTTTCACGTCACATTTGAAGGCTACACCCATCTGAGTGACTCAGAATGGGAGGTAGTCGGCCGCATGAGTGCGCTTATGGGCGAACCCGCTATTAGTGGCATGTTGGATTCTTTTGACGGATACCAACAGCTTGCCGCTATCAACAAGTTCCTACAAAGTCAACTTGCTGTCAAGAGGCAGAAGATAGCATTGCTACAGCAGCAAGGCTCTCATCAGTCGACGGGCGGGCCAACGCGCATGCGTCGACCCGAAACCTTGAAGATAGATATCTCAAGGTATAAGGGAACCGACGAAGATTCCCGTCAGAGTTAGTTCGTCGAGTTGGACGATGCCATCAGGGCCCGGCACATCAAGAATGACGAGATGCAAGTCACCTTCGCCCTGTCAAACTTGACAGGACGAGCACAGACTTGGGCGTTAGGGATCAGACTTCACGACCCATACGTCTTTGAGTCGTTGAAGAACTTGAAGTCTTGTCGCAAAGAGACATTTGATCCACCAAGAGACGATTTCAGGGCACGCTCTGCACTCTTGAGGCTCAAGCAAGGCAAGAGTGATGTGCATGCTTACGCGCAACACCTACGCTAACTTCGAGAAGTGTCACTGAAAATCCTGTTGATGAGCACACGCTCATCAACGTGTTCATCAACGTCCTTGTGGATTGGCCGGTGAAGACCTACATGTTCCGGGAGGACTTCCATACGCTGGAAAGGGCGATAGCGTATGATGAGCAAGAGGACTTTAGCCTAAGATAGTCTCAGGCTAACTCGTCCAACTATCGTCCGACGAGACTGCAGGTCGTCCGACGAGTCGACAGGGGACGTCTCGAAATAACATACCTCCGTTACATCGAGAGCGAGAACGTTCGCTACCTGAATCACAAGCGAACGGCAAGATGCCATCACTGTCATAAGATCGGAGACTACGCACACGAGTGTAGTGTCCCAAGCACCACATCACGTCCAAAGACATGACGTGATGACCGCCGTTGGTTTCAGAATGTTCCAAGGCGCGGGTCCGACCATGTCGCTGAACCGCGACAGCAAGTCGGACAGCCAAAAAACGGTCAGGGTCAGTAGGGGCGGAGCACCCTGCTGATAAAGCAACGTCAAGATAATTCGCAGGACTCTTGACGAAGATTTCTCCTAACACACAGTCGCTGTGTGTTACTGCCCCTGGTGATGATGTGTCGCTCATCACTTTGACGATCGAAGTGACAAGTGGAATGTCACTTTGCGCCCTAGTGGACTGTGTGGAGTCGAACAGTTTTGTTCGACTCCAGTCACTGGAAGATAGCAGGCTCAACTATGTTGAGCGAGAGTTCCCTCCAACGAGGATGGCGGTGTGCCTTGCTACTGGCGCAGCCGTGACAGTCAACAATGAGTCGTGAGAATCCACTACACGCTAGAAGGATATCAGGACGATGATGACTTCATCGAAGTGTATTAGGATGACAAATTGATGTCATTCTCGATCTGCCATGGCTCAGAAGATGCGAGACATGGATCAGCTGGCAGCGTCGATCCGTGAAGATGCCTGCCGCTTGTTCATGAGATGACCATCTGATGAACGTCTTGGAGCGCACACAAGCGTGTGGGTGTACTACTAGCGAGTGCGATGGCCTCACCTGTGGTACGGTTGTTAGTACGACTGCTCAAGATCACAGTGTAGAATGCCACTACACTGTGGAACCAGCTTCCGGCACCTGTGTAAAGACACAGGCTGCGCCGAAGGTCCACCACTCGAAGAGATCGAGTGGACTGGAACACGGATGTATACCAAGAAGGGTGCATCCAAGAAGAGAGATGAGCGTTGTTCAGGATAAACAACACATTGAAGCAAGATCGACTAACAGAGAGTCGATCGTAGAGCAAGCCCGATCGACTAAAAGAGAGTCGATCGAAGAGGACGTGACTGTGGCAGTATACCCACATTCAGCACACGTATTGGAAAAAAGCTCCAGCGTTCCTGAGAGTGATAACTTCCGAAAGAGTTATGTTGAGGGTATAGATCCCCAACAACGTGCGGATGCGTTTTCCCAGGAAATCACCGAGACAGTGAATGTCTTGGTGAATAACGGATCAAGTGTAGGCACTTGTACACTTGATCTGGTTACAACCCCGAAGTCAGCTTCGGAGGTAATCAAGTTGTTAACGCTATAATCTAAAATAGTCTTGAAAGATCTGCGTAGTGACAAGATTAAGCAGATATGCGCACTCGTCACAGAGTACGAGTACGTCGCCGATATTCGATCGGCACAAGTGTTTTCTGAGAACGAATGGGTTCTCAGTAGCTCATCGATAGACGAGAGTGTCCTCCACGGATGAACCCGGATTGAGCGATACACGTCTCAATCTTGGGAGTCTTTAAAGACTAATTCTTTATATAAGGATTTGGTCGAATTAAGGGTGAATCCCTAAATCCGTGCCATGCGAGATGCCAAAGGATTAAAGCACTCGGCACGAGATCGAACAGAAAGTCAGTTTGAAGCAGTGGCCACTGCCTCGGGAACAGGTCAGAGCGATCGACAAATTCTTTGCCGATTTTTTAAGCGGCTGGTCATGTGAGGGAATCTACATCCCCACACTGATCTCCGACCTTCTGTTTGCGAAACGCCATAGGAGGGTGGTACATAGTGCATGCGTTCAACAAATTGAACTCTGCAACGGTACCGGTTCAAACGCCGATAGAAAGGAAGGACGTAATCATCGATGGTATGGAAAGAAGTACCATCTTTTCGTCCATGGATTT